GAAGAAAGCGACAATTATAATGTATAAAAATTTGACGTCATATTTGTTACGTTTAAATTATGTTTATGTATCAGCCACATAATAAAATAAAATTATAAATATAGACTATCGAATATTGAAAGAAGTTAGAGGATAGTAAACAGATATCCATTAGAATTTTTGGCATAGTTTTTTACATCATGGTAACAAAAAATGAATTTATTTAAATTTTAAACATAAAAATCATGCAACACTATACCAGCAATGAATTACTTGTTATAATTTGACGGTATCTATTTTTCAGTCGTTACAAAAATCATCAGCTTAAAGATAAATAGTATATAAGAATATTACTAAAAATTAATATAGATTTATACTACTTTTTATTATATTGAAATTATAACATTATAAATTACGATCCACAAATTGTCAATGATGGTCATAACGCTCCAATAATAATTATTTCCATTTTATGAGATTTATGCCAGACAAATGTCAAAAAATGCCTTTTCACTTTTTGCTTCCTTGGAAAGGAAGCTTTGTTTTCGGTTTTTTTAATAACTTTTCCTTTTTCGCTGTAATTTTTTTAATTTTATCGTTCGCGGTTCCATTCTTGTTTTTTTTTTTGATAGATCTACACGTCCTGAAACTGTGTAAATTGATATTTTATCATAGAATTATTGTCAGAAGCTCAGAATCATCGTCAAAGTCATATTTTGATGACGTCTGTCCGTGGGGATATATGAGTGTATGTGTGTGTGTGTTCTGTCAATCGCCATGAATATTCCAGTCGATAGATTTTGATGAGACTTTTTTCATATATTTTGTTATGATGGAAGGTAGGTGGGAAAATATTTTTTAAGGCCAATAACCGACTTAAAAAATATTTTATACCCATTTTTAGGAAAAAGATGTCAATTTTTAAAAAGTGATTTTTCTGTAAAATTGCTATAACTTTTGATTGAGAACGTATTTTTCGTCATATGACAGCTTGTTTTAAAGCTTTTACAAGTAGCTTTTAAATGAATCATCGCATGATTGAGTAATCGATGTATATCAAAAGATATAGTACTTAGAAGAAACCTATTTTCAAAAATTTTATAAAAAACATAATGTTACATTATAGTTGCAATAAAATTATGCATGTAACCAATTATTTCATAATTGCTGTATGAAATATACTATATTCAATGAAATACAATGAATATAAAAACGATTAATAACGTAAACACAAACGTAAATAACAAAAATTCCAAGGAAGCACACCGCTAGAGCAGCTGGCAGCGTTTTTTTTAAATACCATAGGAAAAAATATCTATTTAATTTAGATACAATTAAATTAATCAAAATCTAAATATTCAATTGATAAGCGCAATTTCTTTAAAATAAAAAATTACTTCATGTATACTCACGTAGCTATATAAAAATTATAACTTACTTGTCAAATTTATCATTCAAAATCTAAAAATAAAATATAGTTGTCTTAACATAATATTGATACAAAACTGAGGTCGTAAATAAAGCTCACTCAAAAACGCACTCTGTGTATAAGACACTAATTATGGTCAAATCCAATAGTTGTAATATGAACATGTCATGACCGAATACTTCCTTAATCATTTTCAATTCTTTATATTAAATAGAACGTAACTCGAAAAAAATATTTTAATTATTCTCTTTTTAGAAAAATGAAAAACAGAAAATATAATCATATCAATGTTTGTATTCTTTTAGATTCGTTATTACATAGAATATACGATTAATAATGCTATAATGCTTAATTCTTTATGTTTTTTGGTAGCATCGATTCTGATCATACAAAAGATTTTACAACATTTATTTAACTATATTGATACAAAGTTAATAGAATTTGGTATTACCTCGAATATGACACTTGAAGAACCACATACTAAGCGATGTTATGGGTTCCACAAACATGACTAACAGAGACGACAATGCATGTTATGAAGTAAAGAAACGCTACTGGTAAATATACACAAATTATATGCAAACATGCAGAGATGCAACAGATAAATTCATTAGGAATCATGGCTCATAGTAATACGGAAAATGATTGCTTAAATTTTCTTCGGTAACAACGCTATCTTGCAATCATATCGTAACTAAAACGACACAAGATGTTAAGGTATAAGCTAAACCACACAGTGGATCATTATTTTACATCGATATGGTGTGCGAAAAGAAACAATGTGTTAAACTTACAACGCAGAAAGTAAAGAAAAAATAATCCTTTTTGGAACAATGAAATTAAGATTTTTGCGTCCTCTCCGTCACAGATATTGCTTCAAACGGATTAAACGACTCATATAATTTTCGCTTCTAAGCAAATATACATGAAATTTAAAACTCGTTGTCAAAAAATTATTAACTCAAAACTAATCATAAAACTTTTAACTTTAACTAGAATGAATATTAACAGTGCAGTTACAAGGCATACAATAATTTAACTTAATCGTATTGTAGGTGTGTGTTACGTTGAGATTTACAATAGTAGTTTTTTGTAATTAAGTTGTAGGTTAGATGAATATTTATACATTTTAATTTCTACTTTTTGATAAATTGGGCTATTTTTAGGCATAAATTTTTATTAATCAGCATAGCACTTAAGTCTGGCTTGTATTTGAATTTAGAATATAGGCCGGGTTCGGTATAATCTGAGAGATTTAGATTGCTGACACAGTCGATGATGCCCTGATCTCTTTTCCGGCATGACACTTTTCAATAACGTTTGATAGCTTGAAACTGGTGAATTATAGACAGTAAAAATTGGGATGTCTTTAGCATAAGTCTGTGAATGATTAATTGACCACGTCTCGATATTGCACTCGCTATTCAGCTCGCGGTATATCTATTTATTTGGGACTAGACCCTGTAATTGAGTTATCATCGATTTCGAAGTCGCTCGTGCATGGATCAGCATGTAAATATGTCTGCTCGTACTGAATTCCAAAGCACATCCGTTTTAACCTTTAATTAGAAATTTAAATTTATCATGGTAATCAATACCTTTTCGTCTTTATAATACATTGGAAGTATATTGCATCAAATCGCCAACAAGATATATAACACTTTTGCGATATTTTTCACAACGATGAAATCCCCGGTACTGTACATGACCTGCGAAAAGAAAAATACATTTAAAAGTTCGTAACATAAAGTATAAAGAGAGCTTTAACTTCTCAATAAATACATGAATGTAAAATTTATTGATAAAAAAGCAATACATCTTATTCGTTTATTAATTTTTGAATGGTAGAACCACAATTCATATAAAATATTAAAATATATTTATAAATTAGCCAACATTAATCTTCTAGTGAAAAGTTCATTAATTTACTTCTCGTCTGAGCTTTTTGTAAGCATGATTTAAATTTAGATGCTAATAATGCTTATATCGATTGATCCTTAATATTCGTTTCAGTATAATTTGATTTTAAATTACCACAGAAAGCGGAAACTAAACCAATCCTGAAACGATCATCAGATAAAAACAATGGATTGAAGAAATGATAGTTCGTTATATTTATTATTGTACATGCATATATACTGATATTAATTAATTATACGTGTTCTATTTCAAAAGTATGATTAAGAATAATTATATTATTATCGAATTGACTAATTATCGACTAATGTTTCTTTGAAGAAGTTATTTATAGGTATATTTAATGACACGTACGCAGAAAAGACAATTTTTGTGTTAAAAATGAATATTTTCTAATGCTATCAAACACACACAATTACACATACAATTGATGTTGTATAAGTATATTGCAATAATTTTATATCAAATGAATCAAGCTATCTCTTTCCTCGTCAATTCCACTCGGAATAAAAGCGTTTCGCGCGTAATGACAAACGAAATCTTCAGCAGTTTCTAAAATTTATGTGTGCGCCAAGCGATTTCGTGGATAGATCGACTCTAAAATTCACAGAACTAAATTTTCCACTGGCAAGTCGTAATGTCATGTTTTTTTTATTTTTCACAGAGAAGGCAAAAAACGTAAGCCCGCGACAACTTTGCTACGTGCTTCGCTTTCTTAACATCTCTCGAAAACGATTAAGCTACATAATTCATTACTCAACATATTTCAAATACATGAACCGACTATATCACGCAGCCTTGACAAACTTTACAAATCTGTCCATCTTTCTTTTTTGCTTTCTATAGACTTTGAATTCGTACGTTAAAAGCCATTCAATAGCTACATTCCCAAACGCCACACAAAGGCAACGCGTGAACTCGTCTGTAACATGCTCACGCCTCAAAACCCCGCAGTTTTAATGCGAAGAAAAAAGAGAATAGCATTGTTCTAATCGAGAGAGAGTAAAAAAAGTTGTACTTATTTAATCGCTCGTGTGCATGTAGCGCTCTGTCAATCAAATGCTTTACAATGCCTCGGCAACAATAGACCAGGCTTTAGTCAATAGCTGCCAGACTATGCTACTAACTGTGTGAAGGGATAGAGTGCAGTGTTTAGAAAAGTCAAAACCACCCGCAGGAATAATATGCAATGTGTGTGTATGTGTGTGTGTGCACGTGTGCATGAGTGTGAATTATGTTCAAATGCCTTCTATTTCTGACTGGCGAATTTATTGGACTTTGAATATGCCTTTCATCAATTTCCATTCAGTTTGCAACATTTTCAAGTTAATTAGCATTCGAGCTTGACATGAAGTCTCATTGTTATTTATATATCACTTTGCATTACTGTTGAACAGTAAAAGAATTGTATTTACTGCATTTTTTTTAATCAGTTTTTTATTAATAATTATTACATATCTTATTCATTTAAACAATTGTTTGTTAAACAAATTATGAATCTATAAAAGTACAAATATTCTCATAACTCTATTTCATTCTATTGCAATTATATCTAGTAAATTTATTTACATCAGAAATTGCTAAATGAACCAATAAAAGACTTGTATACATTTGTAAAAAATTCATTCTTTTAAAATTTTTTCTCTTATAATCAAATATTAACTGTCTCAACACTTCACTGTATTGCACTTGCCCATGGTGGAGTCATTGGCTGTGGATTTTGCAAATAAGACATTACTACAGCCGATATTGATAACATGAAGCTGCTAAGAATTTGTTTTGTATCGTCACTGACTCTTGAATTAGCAAAACTAATACAGGAACAGTACAGTGCTACCCATGCACACCATTTTAACCTCATCATCAAGCCACACATACTAAAAATCATTCCAAGGATGTTCATGTAATCTGGTGTTAAATCATCACCAGACTGAGTTTGATTGCTTGCTGCTGATGGTCTGTAGCGAATTTCTTTGTCTGGACGACGAGGATCTGATGAACTGTTCATTCTGTATAAATATGTACTATTATTTATAAATTCATATTATTTAATTTATTCTAATATGAATTTAGAAATACATTTTTATTGGAACATTTGGAGCAAAAAAATTATTCAACAGACATACCTATATCGATAAAGTATTCTATAAACTATTAATATAAAATAATACATATAATTACATTTTTCAATTATTATTAAATTAACACATTTAGATTACTTAATAACACAGTATTCATTATACGATGGTAAACTCGAAAATAAATTTTCTTTAATTTTTCAATATTTCAAACTATACATGTGCTCATAATATTCTACAGTTAATTTATACAAATAAACTCTACATAGAAATATTACATTGAAAGATAACTTACTTTTGTTGAATATGAAATTCTGTTTTCCAGACTAAATTATAGTAGAATATAATTATCAATTACTTGCTTTTATAGAAAATTAAACTGCTCTAAATTTATTTGAGTTACACCCATATACGCACGCAAGTACGAAACACAACAGCTGATCGATTGGAACGTTCCGTACAAGATTTACTCCGATTGGAAGAGCATATTACCTTTTCAACAGCAGCAAAAGCGATATAAGTAAATATACCTTAAGTCGTTCCTCTCAAGCAATATTCATTAGTTGAAAAAAGACAGAGAGCAATGCAATGAAGTTTATCGTCATAAAACATACCTAGATATGTATGTTTCATGACGGTATTTTTTCACTATATTGCTGTGTCTTTCCGATTGACAAGTTGTCGGAATACAAACTACACGTGGTAAACTCGATTATAAATTGTGGTCATTTTTAGAGTGATAAAAACATTATTATTAATAATATAGTTAATATAATATCAAAATGAGTGACGACGAATCTGAATCAAAGAAAAATCATTATATTACATGCTTAGCATGGGTAAAAAGGGGAGTAGCTGCTTCAGTGCCTGATAAGGTTAGAATTTTAATTCTTTTCAGTAAACATTTAAAAATATTTTGGTTAAAACTATATAAAGTTATATTTCAGGTTGAATTATCAGTTCAAGAATTGCAGAGCATCTTGAAAACTACAGAGTAAGATATTTATTTTCTGTAAAATCTACTTTTAGATTATATTTTATTATTTTGATTTATCATACAATTAATTTACTTTGCATATTTCTAGGCAAATGAAAGATGAGGATAATAGTGATCAGGAAAATGGAACTTTTACAGTTGTAAAAGATGAAGAAATGAAGGATGGTTCAGTAAATGTTACTGATGAATTTGATTTTAACAAATATGATGAAGAACGTAAGTGACATTATTATAGAATAATATGAAATGAGCAGCATATACATTTTGATATTGGTACATTTTTTATGCTTTCAGCTGATGACATTTTATGTCGTATAGATAATATTGCAGTTATTGATGGCAGAGATCCATTTATTACTACAGGTGATAGTGATGATGAAGATTCAGAAAAAGAAGATGATATTATAAAATCTAGTGATAATCTCCTTCTAGTAGGACATCTCAAAGATGATGAGTGTGTTTTAGAAGTATATGGTAAGAAATTATGCTGAAAATAACCAGTGATATAACTATAATATGCCATTTTTCATTTTAGTATATAATGAAGAAGAACAATCGTTCTATTGTCATCATCATAATGATCTACAATATATTCCATTGTGCTTTGAATGGTTGAATTTTGATCCATCAGATATATTGAAACCAGGTATAAAAATTGAAATTACTTTAGGAGTTGTTACTAGTAGTCTATTACTAGTTTACACAAGCTATTAATTGATCATTTTGTTTTTAAACAGTTAATTTTTGTGCCATTGGAAACTATAGTTCAGTTATAGATGTTTGGGACTTGGATATAGTTGGAAGTGTTGATCCAGTTTTTCAACTAGGTAAAAAATCCAACAAAAAAAAGAATATAAAGCATGTTGGACACAAAAATTCTGTACTAGATATAGCATGGAATACATCACTAAAGTACATTTTTAATATTACATTAACAATCATTATTTGAGGTGACTTTGAATAAAAATAAATTTACTTTATTTTAGTCATATTTTAGCCAGTGGATCAGCTGATAAAACTGTTATTTTGTGGGATTTAGAATTTGGTACACCTAGTACAAAATTGACATCATTTGAAAATGTAGTTCAATCTATTAAATGGCATGAGACAGAATCTCATATATTGCTTACTGGATGCATGGATAAGTAAGACTTGTAAATTTATAATACTTTTACAAATATTTTAATACTTGGAATTTTCAACAAATAATCTATTATTTTATCCAGGAAAGTACGATTGTATGACTGCAACTCTGAAACTGCTAAAACATGGTTAGCTTCTGGAGAAGTTGAGAGAGTTTTATGGAATCATTTTGATTCAAACATATGTTTCGTAAGTATTATTACTATTTTATTGGTTCTATGTAATATTGATAAATTTTATAATAAATTATGAAAAATAAATTAATTTTTTAAATGTAAAATTATAATAGATAAGTACTGATAACGGTTATCTCGAGTGTATAGACATTAGACAAGATAAAGCTCTATGGCAGAAAAAAGTGCAAGAGGAGGAAATGGCTGGTATTGAAAAAACATCCTATTATTAATTACAAATTATTTCGATCGAGTGTCACAAGACATCATAATTCATTTTCAGGTTTATCAATGAGCGTATCTTGTCCGGGATTATTATTAAGCTCTAATAAAGATGGGACATTAAAAATTTGGGATGTAATAAATTACTTGGAACCTCAATTGGTTGCTGAAAAGCAAACAAATGTGGGTCAAATTATGTGTCTTGAAGCAAACTGTGATAGTCCTTTTACTTTTGCTATTGGGGGAGATAACAAGGCTCATCATCTCAGTCTATTCAACGCATCGAGATTAGATAAAGGTATGTAATGTTATTTTGAAATTTTGTTTTATTCAGGCATTATTAATCATGAGTTTTATTTGTAGTTGCTGAACATTTTAAGAATCGTAAAGTCAAGAACTTTATTCCACCAGTGGCCTTGGCAGAATCAAGTCATGTAGAAAATAAGGATGAATCAGGAAATACAGAACTAATGGATATTACAGAAAATATGAGCACAATTAATTTGGAAGCAAAAAAAATTTCCAAATTGACTAAAACAAAAAAGAAGCCTAGACATCGTAATCGTAATGTCAAATAGACAAAATTAATATTATTTGCGTGTGAATATTACTTATATGTAGATGAAAATATTTTTAGTTTTGTACATTGAATAGTCTTCCTTTTGCTTCATTAATCAATTAATATCAATAAATCAAGGAATTATAAGAATAAGGCATATTGAAAGAAAAAATTTATATTTATCAATTGAAAAATGAAAAATGTTTGACATATTACATGAACACATAGTATATATCATTTATTTACATTCGAATTGAAAAAATATTGTTGAACTAAAAGGAAGCTAAGACCTTATATTTCTTTTTAACAGTCCTGATATATAGGAGAAGATAGTTTGGTTTACATACTGAATTATGAAAAGTCATATTTGTTTATAATTACATTTTTACTTGCTAAATTAAATTAAATATTTAGTTTACAATTTTGTTGAAAGCTTCATTAGCTTTAAAAATAATTGATTCTGAATGCACGAAATGCCTTTTGAGAATAAATTTTGCTATAAATTATACAAATTGAATAAATTAAATCTAAAAGAAAATAAAAGGCAGTGCATCATTTAGATCTATCATTTTTTGCTAACTCTTTTAAAACCTTTTGCATTCTACTACACCACAGTTTACTTACATTAATATTTTTTTACGTTTCATCATTTTTTTAATAATTCGCACTATTTATTTAACTATGTCGATTGATCTCGTATTTCAAATAAAATATCACTATTAGATCGGAAATTAATTTTCACTATGCTAACTAAAATTAGGATGCCTCAGTTCCTAAAGAATATTAAATACAAAATAAATTAGCGAATAATTAAAGTAGTTGTGCGAGGTTTTCCAAACTCTAATTATCAAAAATATTACATTTAAAAAAAAATATGATCAACCGACAGATAATTAAAACGAAGACTCACACCTTTAAAAATCTTTAGTTACCCCATCCGGTTACACGCGAATGACAGTCACTTATTTAATTCCTCTACACTGGCACACATTTTGCGAATGTATATATGCACTCTCGTTGAAACTAATCAATTTTTCATCTAACTTCTTTGCATGATTGTGGCATCATGCCAAAATATTGAATGAAATGAAAATAACCAGCAGAAACGATTTTATAAAATTAAAAGTTTACAAAGTATCATCTAGTTTTGAGTACCAAAATCCATTTTTTTAAATATTTTTATAATTTGCACTATGGCAGTGGTTTAGTAAATCAAAAAGGCTATGGATTTTAGACATTTTATGCTTCTAATGTTTCAACACATTGTATAAAAACATGATCAAAATGTTGTATACGTTTTATTAAGAATGTTTATGAAAATTATTTTACATTATATTTCACCATTAGTTTCTATAAACTTTTCTGGTTAGAAACACTATTTTTGATGTGTAAAAATGTATCAAGCTCTAAGGCTTCTGTTCAAAACTTTTCTTTTTCATTTAATTTAGTAAACTTTATGTTTAGAGGAATGTTAGAATCAATAGTTTATCTAATTATAAACCATGCAATTTTTATTATTCTTCGATAAGAGAATGCCCAGTAGAAATATAGAAATGCGAGATTTGGCAAATTTGTTAAGTATATTTTTAAAAAGGTTTGAGTATCAAATTTAGAAAATTTTACGAAAATTATTATTATTTATAATAAAATATAATGAATTAGCTAATAATAGTATTTCTTCACAAACAGGAAAATGTTAAATATACTTTTTAAATATGGAAATCGCTTTTAAACAATTAGTTATTTAACTTTGAATTTTGTTATATGTAAGAAAATTTTAACTTGATAGAAATTATTAACTCATTATTTGAAGTTATGGCTACTAGTTAAACACTGCTAGGAAAGCTATGGATATAACTCTATGCAAAGTTTTTTTAAAAGAACTGTTTTTTGCTTTTGCAAACTAAGAGCAAAGGCACTTTAATCATTTGATCAGTTTTGTTTATTTTATAATCCTATTTTATGTATGTTTATTGTATATGCAGATATATAAATTGTGTGTGATTCAAAGTAATCATTAGTAGCATAAAATGTCCAAACAGTGAGTGCTATACAGTTATATATCTATCTTGATATTTGACAGTATAAATAAAAAAATCAACGACATCTACAATAACCCACAGTGTATGCACAATTGATAAAATTACAGATTATATAAGTGAAAAATACTCCCATAAATAAGAAGGACATTGTTTCCATCAAACAATGGTAGCACATGCTTGTTATATCAAGTCTTTACTTACTGGACTTGATTCAGTCCATTTTAAATATATATTTTGAATTGTTTACATTTACTCATGCTTTGTAAGTACTTATTTGCAACTAAAAAAAATTAGTCAGTCACATATATAAGATGAATTATCAAATTTGAGTACTTTTAAATGGTTTCTCACAAATAGAAATCTGTTAATGTCAAATCAAGTTGTGTGTTCCAACATACAAAATCTTCATTGAATAGATCAGCTCAAATATACATAATGAAATGAAGTCAAAAAAGAATTCACAAAGCACAAGAGTCACATAACCACCAGTGAAAGCATGAGCGAATGTCAAAAAAGGACATTACTTTCATTGTCCCTCTTGTATCGTCTACCATGAGGCACTATGAACTCCTGCACTGGTAACTCAGGCATCCGTACCAATATCAAGACTCCTAGAATCCTGGTTGGAGTCATGTTGACTGCCATTCTCGGAGGAGGCGCTGCTTGACAATCCAGACTGATCGCTGCTGTTCTTCTTGATTTTGGGCTTGTATTCAGTTATGACAACTGTTACGTTATTAACCGTCACCTCGTTACTTTGCGCAGTACTACGATCGATATTCTTCAGTCTTGGTGGATGTCTCGATTTACGTCTTGGCTTGTCTGATTTGATGCGACCATCTTTACCAATGCTGCTGGTACTCGTCGTTGACGAGCCGCTGCCACTCTCCTTCTTACCCGGCTTCAGCAGCGGCTGGAACTGCTGGGCAACCTGCCGACCGTTACGCTACAACTCATTGATTGACCTGATCTTTTTTTTTCTAAGGCACTATTTGTATTATGTTTTTACCCTATCTTTCTAATTTTCTTATGTTAAAGATATTCTTTTGGAACAATTAACGTAGAAAACTTATTTTCGTCAAAATTGTCGGCTTACATTAAAAATCTTTTAAAGATATAGTTATTAGAATGATTTAACTACATGAAGAAAGTGAAGAAATTGATCAAATCATAGTATATTATGTTATTACAAACTGTACCACTTTATAGATATACTATTAAAATGTTAAAAGGAATCTTAATAACTATAAATTTTTATTGAATATCAATTATTCTTTATTATTTTAGTTGATTTCTTATGATCTCTAGGATCAAGTTAAAAAAATAAAATTTGAAATATCTTGTTTTTAAATTCAATTACCTGTACTCAATTTCTTTGCACTAAATACGGTACATACAAAATATAGAATGTATTTGCAAAACTTCAGAGAAATCTAAAGAAAAATAATTCTCAAGAGAATGTTTGTAGATTGTTAAAAAGTAATTAGAAAAACTGATAATGTTGTTGGTAGTAGTTGTAAGAATATATATCAATTTAGTTTTAAGTTTTAATTTAATTTTAATTCATAAAATATGAGTAAAAGCTTTGCATTAGGAAGCCGAAAAATATTTTTATTAATATTAAAAGTTACTAATAAGAGATTAATGAAATTCAAGAGCTTAACATACCTGCTGAGCCACCAGGGTTTGAGGGTTGATACGCGGTTTCCGCGTGGAGGTACCTTTGCGTACGTCACACATTAGGCACTTGAATGCTTCAGCTGTATTACGGTACGTACAGACACTGCAGTCCCAGTAGTTTTCTTCCAAAACCTTCGCCTGACGTTTACCGCTTCCGGAATGGTTCATTGTTCATCGGAATTAGCTTATTAACAACTTTGTCCCTTCTCAAGTGAGAAACCACCACCTCAATTTGTGTTCCTTCAGCCTCATGTAAGATTTTATTTAGTTTTCCACAGTTAAATAAAGAATTCTTCAATTACAAGAGGTGATTGCCTCTAGTTATAAATTAGTGGTTGATTTATTTAGCACTAGGTTAGATCATGTAGATCTGTACCTAAATTTTAATTGTGCTGAAAGATCAACTGAACAAAAAGCTATGCAGTTTCAAGTCATTATACTTGTTTAAGTAACTACCTATATTATATAGGTCTAATGTATTGCCGTGAAACATTGTTTGTATTTATAGCTAAAAAATAAAAATCAATAATACTATATATAGTAGAAATCTTAGCTATTTACAATAAAATTAAGTTAATCTTACCTCTATTTGAAAACTCCAATAAATTAAAATTTACTCAATCCAAAAGTTGTAACACTTCAAATCTGTAATAATACAAAGATTATACATAAATATACAGTATAAACATTGAGTTTTATTAGGATTAATTCTTTCTACAATTTTTAATATCAATAAGTACTATTAAACTTCTGTATCAGTAATCCACTAATCCCTTTTAGAATTTATTGATTAAATTCATATCAAGCAGATTACAAGATATATAGAGGATTTAGATAATAGAAAAATAATAGATATATGTATGTGCGTGGGTATATGTGCGTGTGCGTGTGTTAATAGCCACATAGTCATTCAAATAATTGATATCCTGTCAAAACTATTTATGTACACCAAGATATAGATTGAATAATTTTGGTGTTCATATATGAGCGAGAGCTATAGAATATTATAAAATATGTATTTTTCATTACTTTTCACTCGTTCTTGAATTATATAAATATATTTTCACATCTAAAATCTCATACAACTGTACATTTTATTATTACTTGTAATTTCTTCACAATCTACCTACATACTTAACCACAACGCATTTCACTTATAACATATTTTCTTGTTCAAGGGATCATCTACAACCAATCTACAACAAATCTTTTACTCACACATTCTTTTTTATAAAGATTCTTTTCTGTTCACAGTAAAAAAAATCGCTAAATTAAATCCTGAAAACCACCCGAATTCGTGAAAAATCCATAAAATCGCACACTCGCAAGATCTAAGACTTCTAAGAGAGAGTTGGCTCGTTGGCTCGTAACAAGCAATAATTTCACGGCGATGGCCGTGTTCCGTGTAGTAGCGTAGCGCCGGTGCAGCAGCCTCCGACGAGAAACCGCAGACTTCGTGTACTTCCAGGCTACGGACCACGGCATATTACACTTACATACTATATGTGCGCGCGATACACATATACACTCGTTTGGATGGCTCGATACTCGATATTCGATAATATATTTTTTTTTATCGTCACAAAAAGCCACAAACCGATTAGAGGAACGAGAATTTTTAACAAAACCCCTCCCTCTCTCTTATTAATTATTTTTTGCTGTTTTCAAGCTTTATTTATTTGTAAAAACTATAGATTCCATAAATTCTTTTATTTTAGTTGCCGAATTTATAAAAAAATTTTACAATTTTTGAAAGATATTTTTGATGATTATGGCAAATATAATCTACTTGGTTCAAGGTCTCTCCGGTGGACGAAGGGAAACAAGGGAGCCAAAAAGTGGGAGCGAGATTTGGCAGTGTCGACGACATGCAGAGTGAGGCAATTTATGTTTCATATATTTGTTCTTTCTTGTTCAACTTTAAAAACTTTGAATGAATTTTATGTTATTGTTTATTTAAGGTATATAGCTTTAACTAAGGAGTGTTAGAAATTCCTGTTTGAAATTGAATAACGCTACATGATCTATATATATTTACTACAGCAAATACACATACGTATGTTTCTATTTAGTTGTATTACAAATTGATAATCTATTATATTTGTCATTTAATTTCATTTTTAGGGTGATAACAGAACGACTCTAACACGTTCAAATGACCGATGCGAAAACAGCCCGACACAAATAACATTTTATAAAAAAAACAATCACATCTCACGTATATCTAATTGTACTTCTCGAAAAAATAATTATTTGTTATTGTACCATTATATTTCTCAAAAAAAAATAAAAAATATCGTTATCGATAATTCACCTCCTATTTATTCACATAAAAGGCATAATTAAGCAAAAATAAATTCACAGAAATATTGTATACCTTCTGTAGTCTAAATTGTACCATCAGTATAATTCTATAAATTTGTTTCTAAAAGAAATAATAGGACAATTACAAAGCTCTACACCTGCGCAAAGTTCATTTCCGGATGACATCCTTGTAAGTTGTAACAATTAGTGGTAATTTGTAATTACCCTATTATTTCTTTTAGAAACAAATTTATAGAATTGTACTGATGGTAAAATTTAGACTACAGAAGGTACAATTTTTCTGTGAATTTATTTTTGCTTAATTATGTTTTTTATGTGAATAAATAGGAGGTGAATTATCGATAACGATATTTTTTATTTTTTATGAGAAATATCATGGTACAATAACAAATAATTATTTTTTCGAGAAGTACAATTAGACATACGTGAGATATGATCATTTTTTCTTATAAAATGTTATTTGTGTCGAGCTGTTTTCGCATCGGTTTCAAAATGACATAAAAATTTGACTATAGTGTATGTACTCCGCAACCATGCATATATCTATATGCGTCGGTTATGCAGGGAACTTGAAAAGGTGTATATATGAAATGAAAAAATCACAATACAACTAATTACATTTTTCTAAGATTAATTATTGTATTATCTTTATAAATTACAAATTACCAAATTATTACATAAAAATAGATAAATATCCATAATATATATATATATAAATAAACATCCTCTTATACTATTTCCCTTGGTCGCTTATGTGCTGTGTTAGATTTCTGTGATAACTGTATTTCAAAATAAGCGTTTTTCAAAGCTCCTATAGATATCTCATCAAGGTTACTGTTACTGGTGGTATGGAGTAGCTATATTAAATTTCAATCGACTGGTGTCCAGTCACTGCCAGAAATGAATATAACCCAATAACCCAATTCATCTCTGATCACTGTCTAGTGCCCAGTCCTCAGAATCCTCAGATGAGCAGTGCCAGTGGCAGCACCCTGTGGTAGGCCGAGGCCGCCTACGCAGTGATGAATCCGATGAGACTGTAGAAAATTTCATTTTCATGAAGTCGTATCACATCTATATTATTTATAAAACAGTCCAAGATGCTCAACACTGCTGACTATAAATATTGGGCATAGTTGTATAAATAATATAGATGTGATATGACTTCATGAAGATGAAATTTTTTGTAACCTCATTGGATCCTCATATTAGTACTAACGGCCGGAAATGCTTGAGCCGCGGCGCGAGCAGTTCAACCGGTTGACGACGTTGACGTTGTCGAGATTTCGAGAGATGATTATTCGTCCATCCGTTCAACGATTATAAATATTGTTCAAATTGTAACGTAGTTACAAATAATCTTCTGGTGATAAAGGTGTCGTTTATTTTAATTACTATCACATATCTCTAATTTATTTGAGTTACGAGAAACTCCAAAAAACCACTATTTTCTACTCTTTCTTTTTCAGAATGTTTAAGAAATGTTTAAAAGCCACTTTAAATATCCCAAGTAACACAGTTCGTTGTAAAAACGTTGCCACAATAGCAAATTTGCAGCGAAGCGAAATGCGGAAACCTTTTAGAAACGTTTCAGGAAGGTTATAGTGACCGCTCAATGTCCGCTTAAGTTGCAAAAAGTTGGTTTCAGAAACGTTTCTATTAAAGTCCAAGAAAACGTCGTGGCAACGTCGAATAAGAAACCTTTCTCTAATCTTCCTGAAACGTTCCTAAAAGGTTTCCGCATTGGTTACTTCGTTGCAAATTTACTATTGTGGTAACGTTTTCACAATGAACTGTGTTTCTTGAGATAATATAATATAATGTCAATCTATGATAATGATCTATTTCTAATGATGGCTACCTCCGCGTTTCGCATATGTTCACTCCTATTTGTCTTAATTAAATAAGTATTTTAATATGTTATATGTTAACAAAAACAATACTAAATTATACATTTTATTTGATTTAAGAAATATCTTAGGTATAAATAGTGCTGACGTATTTTCCATATCTTCTACACTTCTCAAATCACTGAATAATGAATATGTATAGGAAGGTGGTGAACGATATTTGTTCCGGGAGGTAAAAATTACACGGAAGAACATGTACTATTCGCGAATTACGGCCTTTCCAGTTTCCACATTGAGGGAATATTCATGTGATGTTCTTTTGTTTCGTGTGATTTTGTACCTCCCGGAACATTCGTACAGTTCATTATTTACGTTTGTGTACATACTCTGTGGTTTAAGAAGTTAATTCGGCCTTCTGCACTACTTGAACCACTGAATACCCCCCTTACCCCAGCCTGCAAAGTGTAATGGACAGTGAAAAAAAAAATACCATTCGAAACATCTCTAATTGAACCCTCCAAAAATGCTCAATATTTTAATTGAACCCCTTCAGTTGTCCCAAAAAAAATTAAAAACTATGATGATTTTTTCGTTTTTTGCAACTGCGATATCTTTAGTAATACTTAATATTTTTGCAAAAGAAACAAGGCAAAAAATTGAACCTTTGCTCGTTTTAATTGCACCCCTCTCACTTTTTCAAAATTATTAATATATATGTCAAAAACAATAATCTAACTTTATTGTATGTTCTTTCCAAATAACCCAATAACCCAATTATCTATTTGAAAAGAACATACAATAAAGTTAGATTGTTGTTTTTGACATATATATTAATAATTTTGAAAAAGTGAGAGGGGTGCAATTAAAACGAGCAAAGGTTCAATTTTTTGCCTTGTTTCTTTTACAAAAATATTAAGTATTACTAAAGATATCGCAGTTACAAAAAACAAAAAAATTATCATAGTTTTTAATTTTTTTTGGGACAACTGAAGGGGTTCAATTAAAATAATGAGCATTTTTGGAGGGTTCAATTAGAGATGTTTCGAATGGTATTTTTTATTTTTACTGTCCATTACACTTTGCAGGCTGGGGTAAGGGAGGTCCACTGAATACGTATAGGGAGGTAGACGGTGACTATGCTAATGTTCCGAGAGGTGTAAAATCACACGGAATAATAACATCACAGTAATGTTCTTTCAGTGTGTGGAAAAGCCTTAAATGTCCGCGCAGTTATACATTGTGTATGTACATACATACATACATATATGCATGCACAAATATGCACTGTGGAGCGAACTGTACATCTAGGGATTTTTAAAGGGCGCGGATTTTGCAATAAATAAATTAATTACCATTAACCCTAAATATAATATAAATATCATTAATTATTATATAAATTAATTAAGTAGACGATAGTATATTTAAATATATATATAATTAAATAACTGCATGATTAGTAATAACTGAATTTTTTATTTTAAAAAACGCGCTCGTCCAAAGTCCCTAGATAATAGGTCCATAGATGGCTCCGCTTCACTACGTTGATACCGATGATGATGTAATTTTGAATGTGTCAGAATCGTTCTGTAAACACCCAATGTCATTTTGAATGTGTTCGATACTCCGAAGTCGCAATCCGATAGGTTGTATGTACATACATACATACGTTCACACATTCATACATATAGTCCGAATGATAAAGTTAGATATTTTTATATTTATTAAATGTTTATAATATTTTAGTGATTTTCACAAAATTAAAGAAATAAATTTACTATGCAAATTAGATGTGAAATTTTTTCATCTTTGGCCAAACATGAAAAATATCTCAAAATTTATATTACATATTACAGTTGTATTCGTTAACTTTAATTTGTGTGAATATTTATATATTAAATAATCTTTCAATAAACCCTATAATGTTATACGTGTGTTTTGTAAAAAATCATTTAAGAGTCTATACAGGTTTACTATATTGATTACTTTCTATTGACATAGTAACCTAATTTCAATGTGACTGATTTTTAATCAGTGTAATCAAGATGGTTAGTAGACTATTATATATATGTAATTAATAAATTAGAGCATAAATATTGAATTTTTATATTTGTTAAACAGGAAAGTTCAACTGGTGCTGCTACTATCGATAAGCCATGGGATCATGCATGGAGTACAGAGGAGATGCGGCAAAACCGTAGACATTGGAATCTTGCTGCAGACTCTGGTCTTTTGAAACATTTACAGCAATTTTCAGAGGTATATATTGATACATATTTCTAAAAACAGGTATTTATGCACATAACAATGTTTAATAATTAAAACAATTTAATTTTTTTAGAACATAACAAAAAAGGTAAACGAAACACAAGAAGCTTTGGATTCTATGACAGCTCAATTAAATGAAACAGCAATACTTGTTGACAATATTACTAATACTTCTTTAGCTTTGGCTAATACGCAATTTATAGAAAGTCGAGTTCAAGAAGATAATGTAGAAATAGACCAACCAGTAGAAGACCTTGCTAAGGTAATGTAATACTGTTTACGAATACCATAATATAAACAAAGGTACTATTTTTTCTATAGTTTTTTTAATAATATATGTTTTTTTAGAATGGTCATGATCAAGAATTGAGTGCCAATGATTTATTAGTCAGTGTATGTAAAAGTATCAAAGAAGGTTTGAAAATTATGGATGAAAAGTATGAGAAAGTTGAAGTTGTTGCTAGTGATAGTGAAGATGAAGACGATAATGGTATACAAAGGTCAATAAATAAGATTTATTTTAATACATGTTATAATGAAATTCATCTTTCAACTTTTAATTTAAAATATATGACTTAAGATGATGTTTTATGTTATTTTTAGTGTAATATTAAGGCCAAAAGATCCTTATCAAGACAGACCATTGCCATACGTTTTTGGAACAGAGCAGTGGGAAGCTTCAAGTAAAGTTGGATTAGAATCCAGTAGTAGTGAATCTGAACAAAATAATGAGGATGAAGAATCACCAAGTGATACAGACGATAAAAATATTGGAAATATTTTGAGTGCTAACTCTCGAATAGCTTTAGGTATTGGCCGGTCTCCCTCGCTATCAAGTGAGTCAAATGATTACAACATCGAAAGTAGCAGTATTAAAGATAATGATAAAAATAGATTATACGCGAGAAGTCAAGATACTTTAAATTCAGATGCAGAATCAACTACTCCATCAAGTGTTTTACCTAAGGTATATTTTTATATTATTTTTTTATATTATATATAATATTTTAATATTTTGGAAATGACTTTCTTACTATATTACATTCATATATATGAAAAATTTTTACATACGCAGGTAAATAATGGACCACCTAGTTTTGCCGAAGAGTTAGCCAAGAGATTAGGTAGCGTTTTGCCGTCTCAGAGGAACGTAATTCATGAATCAGATGAAGAAAGCGTCAATAGATCTAAAGGTATTTTTTCTTACTCTAACATAGCTCAAATTTTTTTTCGTGAAAGTAAAATACTTCTCATGTCTTAGAAGATATTTTCGCTCAAGACGATGACCAAGATGTATTTAGTAGTAAATCAGATAACTTATTTAGTGAAGGAAAGAATCTATTTTCCGATGAAGTACCTGCAACTTCATGGAAAAATAAGCCTATAAAAATCATAAATAAGAATATTATTCCCGCTAGTATTGATGTACCTCCGCCACTGAGTAAAATGGGTACATTCCTTTTATATAATTACTGAAAAAAACGCAGATTTTTATTGAAAACCTTTTATTCTGATTTCAGCATCAGTTCCGAAATCGACAATTGATGATTTGTTTGGAGACGTAGAAGATTCAGAGGATTCAGACGATATATTCTCTAAGAAAGCTTCAAAAAACATTTACGCCGATGAGAAAGAAGTCTTAAGGTCTGAAATTATAAATAAACAAAAAAATTTTAATGTCGAAGCTGTACAAAATGTTAGTGCCATGACAACTAGTACTCCAGAAACAAATGAGAGGATGAAAGGACTGTTCGGCGACGAGGAGGACGATAATCTATTTAGTTCAGCTTCCAAACAGATAAAATCTTCTGAAGAACCTCTATTAAGATCTGTAAAAAAAGTAACTGCTTCATACCTAATATCACACTATATAACAATTTTATTGACTCAACAAAATCGCTTACAGAAACCAGTCGGCGGTGTTTCAATATTTGGTAAAGTGGACATACTATCATCCAGCAAATTTGCTCGACGACCGTCGTCATCAACATCGTCATCATCTGCCGAGGAAAGTGAACCGAGTGAACAACGAAGTAACGATCCCGTGAATTTTACTGCAACCACTGAGCCGGTCACTTCGAAGAGCAACGTCAGCAACAGCGGTACAAACGCTTTCTCATCGGTCGAAGCTGGTAACGTTGGTGATTCTACAACAATGTCTAATACGGGTAGCAGTAGTGGAATTTCTGTGCGGCCACCGAGTAGTGACAATACTGCCAGTTTGGGAGGGTCCAGTTTAGGGTAAGTCGAAATAATCTTTTGTAATTCTTTTACACAATTTAATCATTTTTTGATAAAAAATGTGAATGAGTTTTTAAAATTGAGTTTTATTGCCACAAGGATCGATTAAAAAATTTGTTGCTGAATCTGCGAAATATTCATCAAATAACTTACGCAATTATTTTAATGACATTAACGATAATTCGATAATTCATTATTGAGCGATGCTTTACTTATAAAGAGCTTACATATTCGTCATATCAGATTATTTCACTGCAGCTGTATTCTTTTCAATTTCTTTGTTTGCAAACGTGCTTTTGACGTACTCATTGAGGTATTTAGCAACACTGCGAGTGCATCGCACTGTGATTCATTTCGTTCAATTGCAGCACGAATCGTTCACACACTTAGCGAATGAAAGTTTGTTTGAAGAAAGAGTGAAGGAATTCAGAACAATTATGGAGTTTTTAAATAATTGATACAATCACAATTTTTTTTAGGCAAATATTATTTATTTAGAAATTGTGAAATGCCAAGATCTTCGGTAAACAATTTTTTTTAATTTAACAAATAATTATGCAAAAATGTCTGCACTTGTCATACTCTTAATCAATAGTGGTAAACAACAATAATTCATTTATACAAACTTAATTTTAAATTATTACATAATACATTTCTATAATGAATCTTGAGATCAAACTCTCTTGAATAATCTAGTTTTCAATCTTCGCAAATTGGTACCATACAACAGTTTGGAAATGGCTTTGTGGTATCACCTTTAAAACCTATTACTTTGCCACTGCAACGTGCTTCGGCACATCTAGGGCGTATGTCATATTTTTTAAGATATTTTTCGATTACACTTATGTTACGAAATTTCAGTTACCCAATGCCAATGATTTTTGTATTGTTCTTGTTGCACCTGTAGCTAGAGCACTCCTCTTTGGCCAAAGAATGTGATTTCCGGCAATATTCTTCTCGAAACACTTCATCCATTTCTCACGTTATAAATCATAAAAAAGCCAAAAATAATACTATCATGTAATATTTGTTTGAAAATTTATGTTATATTTTAGTAATAGTATGAAACTTGATTTGAATTGTTACGATCTACGCGATAAATTACTATTAGTCACATTACCTTTTCGGACAATAACGGAAACATATGTTGATTTAATATATAAATATATATATATATATATACCTTCCATACTCTCTGAAAATGTATCTGTTGCAATGCACACAATAAAAAATAGAATTAATAACTTCATCTTTATCAACAACTAGAATTAACGTATTCGATTAAAAAGTTTCTTCCGAATACACTTCATTTGAAATTGCCCTGAATGATTGTGGAAAGGAAAATTTGTCGGCTTTATATCTGGTTTCTCCCGTTTCATACTTTTATTTTCCAAAAACAAGTCGTTTTTACGTAACGAATCGGAGGATAAACTTTCAGTATACCATACATATGTGTATATGTTTATATTTATTTCCGATATTAATAATACAAGTGAATGTGTTTCGCTTAATGTTCTTTATTGAAGATTTTTGAAATAATTATTTTCAACTGAAGTACAAGAGGAAATGTGTTCTATAATACTAGAAATGAACAACAGTATTTATTTTAGTGAAATATTAATTTGCATACAAGTTTTATTTGTTAATTCTGAAATATACTACAAACCTGTTCATCTGAATTTTTTTGTGTTATATTCATTTCGTTTTCTATTCACACGTTGGACAGCACTTAGGGCATGCTGCTGCTTTGTCTTTCTTATATTTATATCATTCTACACATCATATTACAGGACATTTGAATATTTTATAAAAATTAGAGTAAGTTTATTAATTTTAATGAATAATTTTAATAAATAAGAAAAATAATGCATGAAACTGTTTAAAATTTTACTGAAGATGGTTCATATTATTAGTAAAATATCCTGTAAATCTTAAATCTTTGTATGGATTAGGATTCATAAAAAAAAATTTTATTTAAAAATTTTTTAAAAATAGACATTTTTTGGATTTACGATAATACGAGTAAATTGAATCGAATCGATTAGAAATTTTGAACAAATATTGTTTATCATAAAAAATGAATCGAATTTTTGGTACAGGTCATTCAAACTACAAATTCTCGAGATATTTTAGATTGAGTACACTTACTATAGGATCCTTTAAATAAACAGTCATAACTTTTGACTGAAGTGGCATTTTTCATCGTTAAAAAATTCAATTTAAAGTTACAATAACAGCTTTGAAATGAGACCTCAAATGAAATTTTTGATGACATGTAGCTTAGGTTATCGCAATTGAAAACATAAAAAATATCAGTGTCCTTGTTTTATCTTATTTTATATTTTTTTATGCTTGAATTGATGATAAATTAGCACAGTTCATGATGAACACAAATGAAATGATATCTTATGAAAAATATTGATGAAATAAACGACATATCTTGGTTATATATTACTAAAACAAAATGATACGACATGAAATTAGAATATTATAGATGAAATGGAGTAGAATGCAGTAAGATTGAGAAAAGAATAAAGAATAATACAGAAGAATACTGATACAAATTTATATGAAAAAAATTATATGAAATAATATGAAATAAACTTCATAAATAGAATATGAATGGTAACAAATATCTATGAAAAAGAAAATTAGAAATTGAATTTATTGATGATATGGGCTAATATTTTGGAGTTTAATATGTACTGTGCATGTTGATCGAATTAATGTCTATGTATATCAGTTTCTTTGAAGTACTAGATTGAAATATTTAATATGGATAGAAAATAGGTCACAACATATCACTGGCTGATAACACTATAACAATAATTATTTATAACGAAAAAATTTACTTGATTTCGACTGAAACTATCTTCTACGAAATATACCAATTATATCATTATCATTATTTTATATAGGGCTTTTCAATCTTTTATACTTTTAAATTATTTACATTATCATTAATGAATACAGACTTTGAGTTGAGTTGACCAGTTAATAAATCATCCGAGTGAACTTTTTACGTGCGATTTAAACAATCATGAATCGTGATTTTTATAGTTGCAGATTGATTTCTGATGTTATTGCAAATGATACCTTCAAAAAGGGGTGGATATGTAGTGAGAATCCAAGCTCTACTTAATGAAATTAAGTTTAATGTTATTCTAAAGTAGATGCGTGTTACCGATGGTTAGTTTTTATCTCTTTTCTAAGTAGGTGACTTGATATTACGTAGTCTTTCACATCACAGTAACATTATTTTATGTACAAAAATAATCAAGTTATAACATTGTTTATCAGTTAGTTAAGTGTCGTCTTCGGTTAATTTTAAGAGTTGAAAAGATAAGTTGTTCTTCAATTGATTTTTTCAACAAATTAGTTTTAATTTATATTTCTGTGGTCAATATAAATTTCAAATTAATACTGTAAGATGCAATTGTATTAATAAATTCTGTAAACAGATATTTTCACATTTATATTATGATGTGTTTTTTTAGGTATACAAAATTTAGGAAAAAAATAAATTTTATTGGAATCGTCAATCAATGCCAAAAATTGAAAAGTATTATAGCGAACGCATAGTGCTTAGCCTCGGTTGACTTTACTACATTACCAATCTGGAGTATAAACTGCAACCAAGTCTATAAAAAGCGCAATGCAATCTAAATCGGTCAGTTGACGGAGACGACATAGATTCTCTTTCGATTTTTTTCGATAACTGTCTTGTTTTCCACATGACATTTCAATTCTCATTTTTATGTTTATTTGTACCTTTAGATTTTTTATAAAACACGAATCAACCGAATTTTGAAAAAAATGAATAAGTTGCTTGAATAGTTTTAATGCAAAGTAAATAAAAGTAAATATTACCATAGAATTTTGAAGTCTAATTTGCAATCGCATATTAATTTATCAAAATTAACGATCTCGCTAATTATGAATTGTTCTTGAAGGCTACTGGCAAGCTTTTACTAATATCTACTACTTCATGCCTACTCTTAGCAGCGATCTCAAGTATAGAATAAGTCATACACATATGTGGTGAAACTAACTTATTACTGGTATCTTCTCTGTATACGTTACTCAATCAACTTTAATTACATTTTTTTAAATTTCCTGCAGGATCAAGTTCATAACATTTCCGGTTTCAATTTTCAACCCGTGACCACTCCAATAAAACGTAAACGATTCGTAATTTAAATTGATAGCATAATTTGACAAGCGATGCTTTAAAGGACTTTGTATTTCATAAAAAATCGAGCACAGTGCGATAATATAGTTTCGAAAATGAAAATTGTAATTTTCGCTCAAATCACATGCAGTGAAAATTGGTTGAAAACGGAAAGTCATTGCATCTCATCTACACGCTGAGCTCGCGTCCGAGAGTGACTCTTTCTACAAGTAGGAGAGAGAGAGAGAGAGAGAGAGGGAGAGAGATGCTTCCAAAGGCAGCAGCAAGTCTCTTCATACTGCGAAGCTCTCGCTGTTTTAGTCAGCGATGTACACGTGCACGCGCTGCTATGTGTCGTACGTAAAAACCATCCGACGAGAGATAGTGAGTGTTTTCCGTTGTTTCTTGACGTTACTATTTTATGCTTGACTGTATCAATATACTTAAATTTACCGCGACAAGTTTACACAATCATCGATTAAGTCAAGCTTGAATTATATGCGAACTCGTTTATTCGTTGACAGCAGTAGTATTCGTTTCTCAACCTATAAAATGTGGAATTCCGTCACTGACGATACCACAGATGCTCAGACACGGATGAATTTCCTGGAATGGCGCGTCGATAAGTCTTGCAAATCAATCAAGCACTCTCTTCGAAATCAATTGCAAGAGAGGCTTTATCGTACTTGATAATTAAAATTGAGCAAAAGCGCAGGAAATAAGTCGAACGATTGATGGGCGATGAATGGACATATATCTTATCTGAATCCCAATGCAATATTGGTCACTGACATGCTTACCCGCGCGAATGATTATTTCCTAGTTCAAACACTTAATATGTATATGAAATTCTTTTCTTTTCTTTCTTCTTCTTCAAAACCTTTTAATTACATAGTGTAATGAACGCCGCGGTAACTCATTTTCATTTTAATCCAGTTTCTCCGTGTGCGCCAGGCGGATCCGATTTCACTAATTGAAGACTGTGGAACAAGTTTTTTGTTGCAGCTCCGCGGTGCGTTGTGTTGTACGTTAAGTGGTTTACTTTTTCCTAAAATTGCATCGAGCTCATTTTACAAAGATTTTGACGTAGATTTCAGGAACTTCATGTTTTAATAAGATTTATTCAATTATGTCATCTGTTTCGTTTTGTAAATGTAATCCTGGAACTCTAGATTCGCAATTTCATTATGATAGAAAACGATGAATGTCCACCTTACTTAAAGTTTCTTGAGTTATAAATAACGTTCAGTATTTACCTTTGAATGAATAGTGCAGCCATACAAAGTGATGTTACCGACGACGTTTTATAAATTTTAAAAACTAACAGCACTATTCGGTGTATGATATGTATATTTAATGTTTTAAAAATGCCACGGAAAAAGGAGGCTCTGTTTGTATAACAAATTGGAAGCTTTGAAATAAATTTAACTGTATGACACTGTAAAAATGAATGCAGCATTTATCGCATCCATGAAAATTTCGCAAAAAGAAAACCAGATCCGTCCGTCGTGTCTCGAGAGTAAATTCGGAGAAAATACACTTTGCGAATGGCTTCCGAGCGAAGCTATATTCGCGAATTTAATTGCTCCCGTTATATATTTTTTTTGGATTGCCGCGCAGGTTTGCAATCGTTTGGAGCCGATCGACGTTTGAAAATTCGAGTATATAGCGCTTGCGAGTGATGCAACGAGTCTCTTTCCCTGAATAGTTGGCTTACTGCCATGGCGACAAGCCTTGTTTTCCATTTTTCTTTTTTTTTTTAAAGAAGATCATGCGAAGATACGCGAGCAATGACAATGATCATGATGATGATTGATGGATACGCGAGATTTTTCTTTTTTTATATTTTAAAACGAGATCGGGAAACGATGGCCAGACTGTGACTGTGTTTATATTTGTTTGATATGCTCCGTAGTATTTTTTGAACGGAATCGTGAGATAATTAGCTCGACGCGTGAAGATATTTTTAAATGTTTTTTTGTAAATGTTTTCTTTATTTTGTGAGATTGAGATGAAAATTTATTTGCAGAATGTAAAACATTTTCTTTTCAAGGGTGGTGTATTAATTTTGAAAAATTTAACATCGTTATTTTCGAGTGTAATTTTAATGAAGTTATAAACGGAAAAAAATACAACATTTGAAGTTTATTGTTTATGTACTACGAAAAGATATAGTATTTTATCTTGCATCAGACGCCGTACATTTTTTAGAAAGACCTATCGAAGATTTTGCGTACGAGAACAATTGAATTTCAACACGTTTTAAAGATAAAGAAAAATGGATAAGAGAAACGAAGACTACTGTACGAACGCGTTTAGAATTGCAATTCGAGAAGCTTAAGCCTGTCGATATTTTGAGAACATATGTTCAAGTGCTGAGACCGCAAGCTGATTTTCTCGTTTGTTGAACTGCTTACTAGGAAAACTTCTTTTATTTTTGCCTACTTACGCAAGGCCGTGGGCAAATATAATCTTATGCACTTAGCTTGTTCGCTTATTGGAGTTTCGATTTATATTAATGAAAAGTCAATTTGATCGACGTTCCGTTCATTTTACTTTGTAAATTCTAATTTATAACAAGCTATAAAATATAATAACTTTGAGTATATAATATATAATTGATAATTTTACATGAAACTTTAACACGCGAGCGGCGGACAGCATTCTGGAAATGGTGTCTTAATTTTGTCATTGCTCATATTATGTGGACACGTGGAATGAATACACCTAGAACGTCAATTATAAGTTCGTTAAGACGTCAACAATTAAACAATTACATTACCTGAAAAATATATCTTACGATACGGTTAGCACTTTAGTGCGCTCCTTGTTGCACCTAAAATCTGCACACTCTCTGCTAAATGGGCTATTGGGAGGAAAATCGCAATATTCTGATTGTAGATCATCTTCATTGGTATCTACAGTAATATACAACGATTGAATAAAGTGAACTTTGTTAAAATAAGATGATAGAGAATAATCATGTGAGGCTGTACCTTTTCTTAAATTTGATGATTTAGGTGCACCTAATACTAGCGCAGAACAGACAATCACGCACAGAATAACGAGAAACTTCATTTTTTTTATTAAAACCAGATATCTAACTTTCTTTGCTCGGTCGTTGGGGTTCTTTGAAATGTTGTCTAACATCCAAGCCAAAAATACGCTAGTTTTATATCTAGTTTCTCCCACTCGGATTCTCTCGGCTTAATGATTAAATAATTTTACTCGAGTATCAATATACTTCAAGCTCGGTATTTTCCAATGACATGGTTTAAATGGATTTATACGTTCTAACGTGACGCTATTCTTACAAACGTCACTTAATTTTTTTTTTCGCGAGAATATCTGTGCGATGGTTAATTGAATAAAATTAAATTTAAAGAGACGTAATTTATTTACTTGTTCATTTAAATTATCATTTTGTATTCATCAGTTTGCGTAAGATTCAATGTGACAGTTGTTGCATTTCGTTACTAATTGATAAATATACATTCTATTGATAGGATAATACAACTAAATGAAAATCAATATTTTCGCTCTTTAATTTTAAAGTCGTACGTTTACAGTTTCTTTTCGACATTGAAAGTACATGCCTTACTTTAACATCCATTAAATATGATTTGTATAACGTTCCATTTAGTATATATCATTTATTATATCATTCGAGCGGAACCATATTTTCTTTAGCGAGTCTACGCCTAAAAATGAAACACTCATAAATCGAACGCCTGTGAGAGATGACAAAGCGTTCTCTACAATCACTTTCACTTTTTACTTGCTCAACTCTTTCTTCGCAACTCTCCAGATCCAATTTCACCATTGTAAATTATTCTATAATATATATAAATATTCATATTAAACGTAAGATAATTATTAAATTAAGTTTATGAATATTTTAGCCAAGAAAAAACTCATTAAATTCATTGCAAATAGAAATCACGTGTAAAAAATGAAGTGTGACATATAAAATCATTGTATTTTTTTATAAAATAAAGCGATATTTATCTATTTAAAAATACAAAATATGCATTGACCTGCTGGTTTAGCAAGTACGAGAGCGGCAATGAGCACAAGAATATGAAAAAATTAATACAAAATTCAAGTTATTGCTTTGTTAACAGCTGCAATGTTAATTGACGCTTCTTTTTGATGATCTTATATATAAGCATAAACTATTTGATTTCTGTGTCTTAATACTACTTTCCTAATAAATTTGTGAGAGATGTTTATAATTTGTATTCAGTTCTGAATATTCGATACAATTTTTCGGGAATAATAATATATACTTAGTTTAAGGGCCAAGGGGAGTTTCGTAGGCGATAAGGGTTCCATCAAAGTACTTTTTATGTATTTGAGCTGCCGAGGACGTATTTCGTTGGTGGATTACTAGAAAAATCAGTAGTTAATTAGGTTTTTTTTTTTTTAACGTCGCTCTATTTATGCTCCATCAGTGCTAATCAGCGACGGAGGCTTGCAACGTGTTTTTGAGAACAAAGCACATAAATAGTTAATTAGTTATTAACAATTTTATTGTTTAAACATTCATAAATTACTTATTAATCAACTTACCGATATTCCACAATAAACCATATATTCTTTATGTCATAACTAATGCAATTATTTTTTTAGATTGAAAAAATGTTAATTAGAAGCGGAGCTATTGCAATTTTATTTTAATAATTATATCTGCTGTGCGTCTCCTCGTTTCAGCTCTCACTGCACGCATTTTGTTTGTACTAAAATCGCGATATCTCAACTTCTAATAAATATTTTTTTTTAATTGTAAAAACCAATAAATTCATTATTTAATTAGTAAAGTATGATGGACATCGTAGAAAAAAACTCCTTAGAGAAAAAAAGTGTTTTTTTAAGAAAAATAAGTTTCTACAATAAAAATTCCATTTTGAAAAAAAAAAATTCTTTTCATTTTTTATCGTATTTTTTTCCATTAAAAATTAAAAATGAAATTATAAAATATTCCATACCTTACTAATTAAATAATGAATGAATTGGTTTTTGGAAATTAAAAAAATATATTTATTTTTTATTTAAAAAAAAAATATTTATTTTTTAGAAGTTGAGATATCGTGATTTTAGTACAAACAAAATGCGTGCACCGAGAGTCGAAACGAGGGGGCGCACAGCAGATATAATTGTTAAACTAAAATTGCAATAGCTCGGCTCCTAATTAACATTTTTTCAATCTAAAAAAATTATTGCATTGATTATAACATAAAGAATATATGGTTTATTGTGGAATATCGGTAAGTTGATTAATAAGCAATATATGACTGTTTAAACTATTAAATTGTTAATAACTAATTAACTACTGATTTTTTTAGTAATCCGCCATCGAAATACGTACTCAGCAGCTCAAATTCATAAAAACTACTTTGTTAGATCCCTTTACCTCCATCAGCCACGAAACCGTCCTCAACCCTAGACTAAGTATCACTAAAAATACTAATTCAGTTTGTGATATGCGTAGATTCTTTTTAATTTATACTTTTTTTATTCATTTCAATAATTCAATAATTACATAAATTTTGCAAAATTCCTGCAAAGTTTTTATATTATGCACACCACATTTTGTAAAGTTTTTGTCCTATTTAACTCTTCATAATTGATACTACTTCTGCGTACAAGTTTTACAGCACTGAGGGTAAGGTTTGCTTAAGTCTTCTTCGACAACCTTCAAATTTCCTGGACATAAAACTGTTCCGCAACTAGAAGTAAAAAATAATAATTCGTTTTATATTTATGCGGATAAAAACTTAAAGCAATCATAAATGCTTATAAATGACGTATACTTTATCCAAGTGATCACGTCGTCGTAAATATCGTATGTGTGGCAATATTTCAATGTTTTTGATATGGACTTAGCATATTCTTCGCATAGTCTGGTAGATAATTCTTGTGGACAAAATTGACGAGCTATTGCTCTTTTATGACGAGCTTGGGTAGCTGATGTGATATATTAATTATAAAGTGACCCATAAGTTGTTTAGTCAAGTTAATTAAAAAATGTATTACATACCTTCTGATATACTAATTGCTATGCAAATTATAGCAAAAAGGCACAGAGAAAAAGTGATCTTCATTTTTGGCTTTTTTCAAGCTGCTTCTCGAACAAAAAAAATTAAAGTGACAGAATTAACGTGATGTATCATCTTTTATATGCTTTCTTGGCCATAAAACCGAATATTTTTAGAATTTCGCGATATCGTCGTGCATAAGATGACGATCTTAGTACGCTTGTAAATAAGTAATATTTATTTAATACTCATTTGCAATTATGTCTATAAATAAAAGTTATGAGAAAAAATCAGCGGTTTGATAAAAATTTGTGTCTTCTCTTCGTTTTATTTTTGAACAATTTATTGATTTCTTTAAGAAGCAAGACAAAAGTTTAAATCTAATGCTTATTAAATTATATTTGAAAATAGTATTTATAAGAAAATGAAATAAATATGTTGTAGAGTTACATTTTTATTTATTAATTTTTTTATTCTTAAGCAAAGATTTGAATGATAATTAATTTAGTATTATAGAGTACAGATTTTTTAATGTTATATAATTTTCAGATATTCGATACTTCAGTAATTATTTGTTTCCTAACTGCATAACACAAGTTGGACAACAATGAGCATATTTTCTGTTTCGCAGCTGTAAAAAATAAAAGAATCTTAATTATTTTTGTCGATTCTTTGCATTTACAGACAAACTTTTTTGGAAATATGATACATTTTCGTAAATTAAATATACCTTCTTGTACAGATCATATTATATTTAACTGTATAAGATTTTTTTTATTCACGCCAAATCGTGGGGTAGGGCTACACTTAAATATAGTTTGAAAATATCACAGATTTATTAAATGTCTAGAACGGGAAAGTCGAACGTTTCCTTCTATGTCTGCTCGTCGGACTCGTTAGTATGGATGGGTATTATGAGCAGACACTACTAAGAACGCCGACGTCGTAATAAATTTAAGTATTTTAATTCTCGCTATTCACGGTAAATAAATCGTAAAAGACTCACTACAGCTCATTACTAACTTGACTCGCTGCTTTCTTCGAGATCCTTCTGGTTATACCACTGCTACACGAATGAAAGATCGGATTGTCGAATTTTTTCTTTGCACGAACCATTCTTTCCCAAGAATTGCAGATACTATCTTTGCAGGTCCATTCAAGTCCCTTTTCCGTACAAAAACGCTTTAGCTTTTCCCTACATTCTTCAAAGTACATATTGTCTTAGTTTTTATTATTTTCTTTCAATAGTGGACTGTAACACCCCTAATGTGCTCTAAGTTGAGGATATTGTGCGAAATCTCTACTTTGCAGACAAAGTTCTATATCATTCGCAACTATAGAAATTTAATTACAATCATAGCAATGCATATGTTTTTAACAGGCCAAAAATTATATATCCAAAATATATTTCATATCTAATTTTTTACAATATTTCAACGATTTATTAAGCAAAAGAAGTACAAGTATCTAAATTAATACAAAGACTAACTTATCTACGTTTTTAGGAGGTTTATAACATCTTTATTTTCTTTTATTTTTATTATTTCATACTGTTCTTTTTTTTATTTTTGTGTATCCACGCTATATAACTGAAACGCGTGTATAGCTTCATGAACAAGACAAACAATCGCTTTATCTTTCTAAAAACCGTTGTCTGATAGTAAATTTTTTCCTCATTTGAATTTGGAAGATGTCTTTTGGTAAATAAAACTTCTCTCGAATTAGCAAGTTTATAATTTCAATTCTTTCATCAAAGTCAACACCATTAGACTCACAGAATTCTTATAACAAAATGTTGCAGTAAAATTTTCCATAAAACGGAGAAACCGTATTTTTTATCATAAAATTTATTAAACTTTTATTAATTTCTACTATAGCTATAGTATAATTTTTATATGACGATATTGAAAATTTAATTGTAACAAATAATAAAAATTTTTTGTACCATAATGAAAAATGTTATGTTATAATAATTATAAAAATATGTAATAATATATATTAGAATACCTAACGGTAATAATTACTACGATTCGAGTAATTTTTACAATGAGCATAGAAAAAATTATTAGAATCAGATTGAAGTTGGATTGAATGATTGAAATAGCACATTTCGCGCTTAAAAAATTGATCAGATAATAAGTTACAAAGACCACGTGTTAGTGGCGGTGCAATTTTTGCAAATGGCAGAATGAATTTGGTATTTAATTACTATATAAAAAATATGTCAGTCTGAATTATGCATGTAAAAATGCACGTGGTTAAGCGACTAACAGGCAAACTACGCATAATAGGTTAACTTGTAAACTAGTAAATAAATAATATATGTAAGAATTTATATGTATATAGGTATATGTATATAAAACCGTTAATGTATTCCTGAATTGTATATACTCTGCCCTAAAGAATTTTAAGAGTAATGTCATCTTTGATAACAATTCGAATCAAATATAAAATTTTAATTTTGTTTTCCGAACCAGTGAACATGACTGTTTACATAGTGATTAATCTCCTATTTTTACAGTAATAATTATTATGATTTTTATTATGTTATATAGTAAATCTCCCAACATTTAAATTTTACGATAAGAATAATTACAGTCAGATTATATTTCACGATTACTATATATTTTTAGAATTTTTACTACAGATCATGGTAAATTTTAGTGTATAACTGAAATATTTCGCATTTTTAGCCAAAAAAAAACATAATTATTATATTCAGATTTTCGATATTGTTGTATGTAAATATGACATTGAAAAGTTTTTCGTGAGCTTAAAATTTAATTATTTAATACCTTCGAGGATATTTCACATATAAATCGTAATGTTAAAGTGTAAAATAATAAAAAGATACATTTTGTTTATTTTATTGCATAAGGTACCAGCAAAGTTTCCAGATTTAAAATAGTAGAAATTAAGCATTCGGATACAAAGCTTTCGTACGTTGATTAGTATTTAGTACCTCATTTATTTTCCAATCTGAGACATTGTAGCCTCTTTTGTAGGGTCAATAACTTCACAAGTGGGGCAACAATCAGGATATGATTTACTCAAATCTGCTGGGACTGGCCTTGTATTCTCACCACAGATAGTACTTCCACAACTAAAATATTTGTATATATATAGTAATGATTACTTATCATACGGCATTTACAAATTTTACTGACTCTGCCCATTCAATATGTAATCCTGATACCTCAGCCCTGATACATTCTTTCGATGTTTTATGTTTCTCTTCTGCATAAGACTTACACTGCTCGGGTGTCATTGTTGGTGGACAATATTCTTGATATAATGCTCGTTTTTGACGCAATTCCGGCTTAGCTGTAATATAATATATGTTTATCAAATTGATAAATCGACAATAATATCGAAATAAGACCCTTTAGTACATTTTACAGCGATAGTAACTTTAATATTGATAAGAAAATCTTTTCAACGCTAGTATTCATGAAATAGTAAGACAGTATAATCATACCTTCGATAGAGCCATTAGAAACACAGACCATAGCAACCAAGCTACACAATACAACGATGGATCTCATTTCTTTTATAAAATTAATATTCTTACTTTGAAGTAAGAAATAAACTATGGTAGTTAATGTATCGTTTATCTTTATATAGTTGACTTACCGCTACTATCTTTGCTGAATGATAAAATTTATAAAAACGTTAGGTCAATCGATTGTGTTTCGGTATGCATAGAAATAATATTCTTTTTCTTCTTATCGTTACAATATATCTATAAGCTATAATACAATCGAAAAATGTTGTGTTGCCCACAAATTACGTAAATGAATTAAATATGAATAAAAATGAATGTAATGTCTGAGAATATTATTTCATTAGTCAACACGCAATTTCTTAATCTTTTTCTTCTTGTTTTATAGAAAAAAATATTACAATAATAGCCATTTTTTCAAAATATATCTCATATAAAAAAAACAAGCATTACGATCTTGTACATTAATAGATTATCTATTTTTGGCGTGCAAATGATGAAATACATTTTAAAATCAGTTTGTTTTTAAATTGAATCAGAAATGCTGTACAGTGATAATATTTAATTACCCAAGATAATAAGGAAAATTTAAGGTCGTGTTTACGCAATTTGTTGCTCGACCTTTTCTTGTAAAAATTAAAGTCGTTTAAAGAAGACTTTCTAGTGGTTTATTTTCACATTTAGTAGCCTCAAGATTATATGCTATAGTAGATATTAACATTCATTTCAAATTATCCAACAGTTTACAGGATTTACATTAATCAGGATGAGGCTTTTACAAATTTTCTGGAAAGCTCTTCTTTCATCATGAATTATTATTATAATAAATTTCAGCTGCTTAATAGTGCTAGAATCTATAGCCGCATTACACCCTCTGTTTGTCACTAATTTTTTATTTTTTTTTTTTGCATTACTCGTTTGTTTTATTTTCTGAGTACGTTTCTTGCTATTATGTTACTGATGATGCTTTGAGCCGGTTTAGCTCTCAATACATTAATAGCATAATGGTTTATCAATCAATATACCGTTGTAAATAACTTTATATATTAGTTTGGAAAATGCAGACTTTAGTCAAAACTGAATAAAAAGTAAAAAAGCACTACCAAACTGGATGCAACCATGAAAATTTTCATTTCAGATATCTGTTAAAATATTTGAAACTGATTGTAGAGATGATTACGCCTTTTTCTTTTTCTCTATAAAATCTTATTTTTTTAAAAGAAGACTAATACCATATATTAAGCTTTTTCATATCTATGGATTACAAATGATGTATACGTGTTTATTTATCATAATAGTTTGTAATAAAAGTTTTCTAATCAACTATGGATATAGTAAACCTACTTATACTATAATTAATATTAATTATCATAAAGACATACTTTTGGTTTGGACAACTTTGAATCCTCAAATTTGTTTCGTACACAAAATAAATGTTATTTGAAGAGCGTATTGATATAACTTTTGGATAAGTTTGGACAAGGACGTGTTCTACTGGTCCGTAGATAAAGAATGACATAGTTCATTAATCTTAATCAACCGACCGTTTAGTTTTTAGATTATTGGGAACGTAATTTCTACAAAGTGTAATATTTATTGATATGACAACTTTATTAGAAGATATTTTCTGATGAGACTGAGAAGCGAAAGATTGAAAAAATATAGTTTCTAAAAAAATTTGTTGACAACAATTTCATTAGAAAAGATATGGCAATATCATGACTAAAAGCCTATCAGCGAATCGTTGAAAAATATGCAGACGAATTTTTAATTTAATGGTTTATACACCTAACATCATGATTACTTTTAATTTATTCATGACTGACATTAGTTGAACTTTGTAGATTCAGCCTACTTTATCCAACTTTTCATAAAATCATCAGATTCTGCATACAAACAATGCTATTTAGAAGATTTTTTTATTTTAAAAATATGAAGTATGTTCGTAACTCTACTATTTTACTATTTTACGAAACAAGTGTCCAAATTATTTTTTATCATGTTCAAAATCATAAATAAAAACAATTTTAGATAATGATAAATTTTTAAGTTTATTATGTTGATGGAAATTATATGAATTAAGCACGTAAGCAAAATATACATAATTTTTCAAAATATTTTATACTGCCAAAATTATATGCCATTTTTGCATCGATCAAGATACTTATAATTTAAATCGAGCGTGTATATTCTAATGGTTTAGAGGGATCCAATATTTCACAAGTCTCACAACATTCGGGATACGGCTTACTTAGATCTTGTGCTATCAATTTTGAATTTTCTCCGCATTTAATAGTTCCACACCTTAAAGTACATTGATTTTTATAAGCATTAACTTTAACATGTAAGAGTATTAAGTAATATATTGTAGTTGCTTACGATTGCCATTCTATTGAACCGTAACCGCCAATAAATCTATGACAATAAGTTAAGGTATTTGACTGTGCTTTGGCATAAGCTACGCATTCCTCATATGTTGTATTTTTTGGGCACAATTCTTGTGCTATAGATCGCTTTTGATGATGCTTCGGAATAGCTGGGAAAAATCAATTGATATTGATAGGTATTTCTATAAAAGGCAATTCACATATTATTTTGAAAAATGTATACCTGTTGTAGAACTGAAGAAACTGCAAGACAGCGCCAACAAACTCAATACAACGACGATGGCTCTCATTTTAGATTTTTACTGAGCTTTGATATTGTCATCGACTTAAAACTGACTGGTGATACGATTGTGCCGTTTCTATTTTATACTCTACTCCCCTACCTTTCGACCTTGATACCAACGTCATACGTTGGGTTTTTCTACACCACGTGTCGAATTTAATCTTCTTTACATACTTAATTATCTTACGAAGAATAATAAAAGGCTTTAAATCAAATCATTCTTAAAAGTTTTTAAATATAATATAGAATTTAAATAGTTAAACTTGACTAGGAATATATACTTTACTCAGTGTTTCAAAAAATCTTCTCTTACACGTGTATCATTATAAATAACTCCTCGTAATAACAAAATAATATATTATTTTAATTGTTTTTGCAAAGTTTGAGATGTCAAGTATTTTCAGAGAATTTGTCGGTATCCAATTTAGTAAGTTTAATATTTCCATAATTCGAAAGTCAGCAAATATCAAATACATGAAATTGTAATATTTGTTACATTAATGTTGCGAATCACATAAGTAAACAGAATATACGAAGCTATTCCAGTTGTTTAGATTTACAAGTGAAACATGTCATGATTACTTCAATAGCAATACCGATGAATTAAACTACGCTAGAAAATGTCGCTGGATTTGTAGCATCAATTATTTCACACCATTCACAACAATCAGGATATGGTTTGCTAAGATCTTCTGCTATCAGTATTGTATTTTCTTCACATGAAACACTTTCACAACTGAAAGTATTTTTCATAAAAATTAAGCTTACCAGTATAACTTAAGAATATATTGCAGTTTCTTACGTTTGCCATTCTATCAAATTTTTCCCACCAACGAATTGATGATGACAGTATTTTAAAGTTTTTGACTTTTTTTTGGCGTAACCTACGCATTGTGCATATGTTATATTTTCTGGACACATTTCTTTTGTAACCGATCGTTTTTGACGCTTTGGACCAACTAAAAAAAAATAATCTGTAATTAATTACCAATTCATGTAATTAATTATAAATATCAAAATATTTTATCTACTATTCATAAAATAATTCGTAAGATAGCGTTTAAAAAAAAATGACATAATACGGTAGTTTATTTGAATATTTGTAGTTATAAAATAAAATATCAATAAATAATTTTAAAATGTAATAATGAATTTTTATCTCACGATGTTTCAATAGTTCATACCTTCAGCATGACTGTTCGAACAATAAGCCAATACTACCAAACACAATACAGTTACAGAAATCTTCATTCTGAATTCGCGTCAAACTTTAGTATTGATTCAAACTCGAAATTAACTAGACTGAGGAGATGTTTGAAAGTTCTTCTTCTTATAATGTAATCAACAGCAACCTTTTACTTTTGACATTGACGGTATATAATAGATTGGATTTTCCTAGTATTCATCAATTATGAAACTTTTATGAGTATGAATAATAAACAACAGTATTTCAAACAAGCTTGCACATAAAAAGTTCATTCAAGATATAATTCATAAAATAAATTATCAAAATATGATGTTTTTGGCTAGTCACCAAATTTATATGATCAAAATCATAATTTTTATACAGATAAAATAAAATGTTTTTAGTTTAACATTTTTTACCAAAATGTTAGTAAATTCCATACGTAGAACACTATTTACAAATTTCTATATTTTTAAGGTTGAAACTACAATTATCTCCAAGAAGCTTGTTAGTTTACAATTCATTAAAGTTAGTTGCACAATTGGGGTTTGTGAATAAAGAATGTTTGTAAATAAAACAAACTGTATCATTTATTATTAATATTACATAATATTACATATAAATAAAAGAAATCACTGTACTGCAGCTCATCTTGGCTTGTGAGATTTCAAAACAAGTATATTTAATGATTAGGTGTTTTGCCCATATTGTCGAATAGGACGCCTCAATAATAAGTTTTCAGAATAAGCTCATAGAAGAGGAGCGATCATATCAAACAAAATTTCCAAATGATTTTGCAAACGAGGCGTATCACTTTGACGTCGACAGCGATATTTGACTACGCCGAAAACGTTCGCTGATTGTGAAGAATTAGCTATCATCTACACGGTGCTCACAACACTTAGGATACAATTTGCTGAGATCCACTGCTACCAGTCTTGAATTTCCTTCGCAATGAATGTTCGCGCAACTAAAAGTATATTGGTTTTTGAAAATATTACGTTTAACGTTCAAAGAAATCGAATAATACATTGCAATTCGTACCTTTTCCACTCAATATCATGGAATATACGACCTACTGTAAATCCATTACAGTCGTTGAACTTTTTTGACTTTTGTTTGGCATATTCTAAACATTCTTGGTGTGTTTTATGCTCTGGACATATTTCTCTTCCTGCCCATCGCTTTTGGCGTTCTACGACAGCTGTAAAAATCAATTGACCGCGATAGTCATGTTTTGTCAACAAACATATATGTTATATTAAACGTAATCACTCAATAAAACAAAATTTACCATCAATAGAATTGATAAAACAGCAGAAGATCATGACGAGATATAACGTGAACAATACAATCTTCATCTTGTAAAATGTGATTGACAATGACTGCTATTAGAAACTGTTTACATCTAGTTTCCGAGATAATAAAACATTGTCATCAATGTTGTAATCATGTGTTTTTGAAAGATAAAGCCTGATGAAATAAACTTTGATATCAAAGGTCAAAAAATTTCAAATATCGTTATGCACATAACGCGTAATTGAATCTCGCAACATTCCAAGTCACTTTGAATGTTAAAACTCTTCATTTTATCTGTAAGAAATTATCGGATCGTCATTCCAACGAAAATTTCACTTTCTCTTCCATCAAATCTAAAATGTTCACATTACAAGGAAAAAGCAAACAACAAGGCGCATTTTACTACTCTTCAATTGCGCTGACTCGCCGGCAGCAGAGTTGCATGCGGCAATACTCAGCTGACCGTATATAACTGCTAAGTTCCCCTCTTCCTTGCTTTGCACGAGTACTACTTTGCGACGCTTTTCACCTGGAAAATTCGTCGCTCGAAGGAAAGCGCGCACTATGCCGCCGTTCCCACATACAAGCGCGCGCGCACACACACACACAAACACACCTGCTTCGCTATTCTCTCATCAATGGATATGTGTCATGGATTATTTCTGCAAGGATTTTTGTTTCTCTAGTGAGATGATTTCATCCACAGAGTCATAATCGCGTGTCGTAACGACAAGGAGTGTTTGTTGATGTTTAGAATCTGATTTTTACCTCAATACTACGAGAGAATTTAATTATTTCATTCCGTGGCAATCGATTTGAGTTGTTTTTAAATTTTGGCTGATTCATAGTAATGACTTTAATTACACATTATGCAAAACAAAATGTAATTATTGAATATTTCAATAGGATATCAAATTAAGAATACTCGCTGTTGTGTGCAATATTTACATATATGACCTTCGATCAAAACGTTAAAAAGGATTTAAAAAGAACAAATACAATCTCATCTCATCTCATTAATACATTGAATACAGCGAACCGAGGTGGGTTGATTCGACTAATCATCCAAAAATAAGTCATCGATCACAGCTTCATGCTCGAACAATCAACCCATAAAAAGTCGTGTTTCTGTACGTACACAAACTAAACCTTGATGTACTTTCTCTTTTTTTTTACGCAGAGCGGATTTCCAGCCATTGATGAGCTCGTCGCGGCTCAAGTCTGAGGAGATTTATCGAGAGCGCGTGGCCAGCGACAGTTTGTTCGCTGCTAGCAAGAGTAGTCAGCAACCGCTACCACGACAGGATGTCTCAGAGGAACCAGAAGATGTTTTCGGACCACCACCGTTGCCCAAAGCCGGTGATAATTCGAAACCCAAGTCGAAGGTGCGTACAAGTATTTTTTTTTTTCTCGAATGTTGACAACTTTTATTTGAACTTGGAGAATGACTACCGATAATCGACTACGCGATGTCAGCGACGACGATTTTCGCTGACGGAGCTTTCTTGTGTGTATGTCGTAAAAATACAAATTTTTATACAATATATATTTGCGATAAATCTATCTTGAAATATGTTTTACTTTATAAAAGTAAACAATACTAATTAATTCATTTTATAACATTGGCATTATACAAAACCGTTGGATTTTTCCAACAAATTTATTTATAATTTAATAACGTTGGAAAACCTTTTTCATTGGTGATTATTTTTAGTTTTTCGAATCTGTGATCATGGAGACAAACGTTCATCTTTTTGAAATACAAAAATACTTGAAAAGAAATCAATTTTCACGCTTCTCCACGTGTTTACAGTCCTTGAACTGCCTGCAACCTTGTCGTGAAGTCAAGGCAACGTGAATTATTCGAATGCCAAGTATGGAGCTTTTATCAAGGCATTGCGTGATTTTGTAATAATCTGCAATAATACATCAAGATCTACGGACAAGTCATTGAAATGACAATCCCTTCGCTGACATTCAAAAATTGATATATTATAAAAAGAATTCCAAACGACATCCCGTTACCTCGAGCGCGATATTTCCGTCCGCGATGGCAGTGTTCCAAAAAGCCAACCAAATCGTGTTTTCTCTGCTTTTCAGGTAGCCTCGCTGTTCGACGATTCGGATTCGGACGACGACCTGTTCGGCAGTCCGTCTCTCAAAACCAGCAGTGCACCGACGCCCTCGAAACCGCAGCAGTCACAGAAAAAGAAAGGCTTATTTGACGACGACGACGACGACGGGGATTTATTCAGAGGTAGAGACGCGCCGGATGTTGATCTGTTTGATGCTGCCTCCAAGAAGCTGAAATTCACAAGTTTGTTCGACGACGAACCACCCGATGACGATGGTTTGTTCGGAGACAACAAATCTAAATGTAAAGCTAGTAGCAACGTGAGTTGTATTTTGGGTGAAAAAGAACAGACGGAATCTGTCGACAGTTTTTTCCACGAGGAAAAAAGCAGTGACAGTGTATTCAGTGAGGTGAAACAGGAGAGCAAAAAAGAACTGGAAAAAAGTGTATTCAAAGATCCAGCGAAAGTTGATAAAATATCGGAGAAAAAATCGAGTTCGAAAAGTTTATTTGACGATACTGAAGATTCGAATTTGTTCTCTGCAGTTCCTAAACTGACACCATTAGTAGGTGCTGCTACAGTTTTGAATAAAACTAGTGCTAGAAATAACGCTTCGGGTTTCTTCGACGACACTGAAGACTCGGATTTATTCAGTTCGTCGAGTTCGTCTAAAAATGTGCACGAGAAAAACATCGTGGAAAAATCGATAGATAGTCTGTGTAGTGACTCGACAGATCCAAAAGGTTTTGGTGCTAAGGATAGCAAATCAATCGAACAAACATCATCGAAGTCAGACTCACTCGTTGACGATAAACCGCAAGTATCTAAACCAGACTTTCTTTTCGAGGATAAACCTAAAACATCAAAGTCACTTTTCGAGGACGAAGAATTGAAGTCAGATTCTCTTTTTAAGGAAAAACCCAAAGCATCAAATCTACTTTTCGAGGGTGGAAAATCAAAGATAGACTCTCTTTTTGAGGACACATCTAAAGTTTCCCAAGCCAAGAAGCTCACAACGAGTATCTTTGACGACAGCGACGACGACGACGACGACGATCTTTTCAGTAGTTCCAAAAAAAAGAATCAGTCGTCGTCGAGTTTTTTCGAGGAAGACAAAAATATTAACGTCACGAAAGCCATGGACGATGAGAAAAAGGTAGAGATTGAGAAAGCCGTGGAAAAGGAAAAAGAGGAAAAATTGAAAGAACCACGGAAAGTAATCAAGAAAGACTCGCCACCAAGCTCGAAACTCGTAAAAAAAGTCGTTGAAAAGAAGATCATCTTCGACGTCGACGACGACGATGACGATGATTTGTTTGGCGATAAGAAGAAGAAATCTGTTACGCAGGATAAGTCAAAGGAGAAAGATGATGTTGAAAAGAAGAAAGAAAAAGACAATGATACTAAAACAAAGACTGAAGTTCCCAAAAAGCCAGACTTAGCTTCGAAAAAGGCAGTTTTTGCTGAGATTCAAAAGAAACTCGAAAAACATAATCTTCTTGATCCCGAAAGAGTAGCAAAACTCACACGACCAGACAAGCCTGCAAAACCAGAATCTACAGTTGTTGATGGCGCAGTAAGTTCAAAAAAGGAGCCACCAAAAACTCTCAAACTCGACGATCCTCCAGAGTCGGGGTCACCAACGGAAGATTTGTCAACGAATCAGCAGGCAATGAAGAAACCTGCTATCTCTGGTAAAATTAAGGATCTTCAAGGTAAAATGGGTCCTTTGAAGCTGCTCTCACCTACAGATAGCCCACCTACGTGGAGGAAAAGTACTGAGGAAAAGAATAGCAACGAGGACGAGCAAGAGCACACACCGGAGCTACCGAGTAGTGATGCTAGTACGCCGACTATGCCCAGTGAAGCGTCATCACCACATACCTCGGGTAAGTGTTTTATATTGAGCGAAAGTTTGTTAAGTAAATAGAATTTTAATAGCTAATGAACGGAAATTGACTATAAATCATTTTTATTATTAGGTACGAATTCTAGAGCGAGAGATTCACCGTCAACGAGGTCGGATAACACCGAGGTTGCCATTAGTTTTGACGAGCCAGCTCAAGTTGAAACCTTATCATCTACTGCTTCGAAAGTTAGTATTATAGCTATAATATTGCCTTAGACAAACAAAGGTATATTGAAAAGAAAAGGATTATAATTGTACAGTTCAGTTTTGCTGTAACTATCACTGAGACCTTCATGTATGATCTATAGATAAGATATCATGTGTCATTTGGTGGTCTTATCGCTAGCTAATTATACTATCATACGACCGCGAGGATGAACTGATTTATACAATGATTGTACGCACACAATATTTGCTAATCCCAAATAAAATATACTTTCGTTGATTTTACTTTACAATAAGCTTATTTGTTACTGATGACCTTATTAAATATATCATGAATATGTAACAAGAGAAGTTTTAATAATTTTCATAATTTCCAGAGTCGCCCAAGAATCCCTGGAAAAAGACGACCCCAGAGTAGACAGGCAAGGCACTCAGCTCTACGTCAAAGCGGTATTGACTTTGATTTTGTTGATGCCAGTCTCACAACAGCACAGTCGAATGGTGATGCCAGTGATGCTCAAATCATCAGTGATCGCTTGCAACCTCACAGACCTCACCATAGTACTGGTGACTCTGGTCATGCCGATGACAAGTCGGAGATCAGTGCCTCCAGGAATACTACGACCAACTTACTTTCGCCATCGACAGATGAAGAGGATCTATTTGACGTACCCCCAGATTTACCAGAAGATCCTGCTGCCAAAGAAGAATCTTTTTTCGGTAGAGCGCCAATTCTATCGCCCGTGGAGCCGATAGAAAAACCCAACGATAAGGTACCGGCTGAAAAAAAAGAAAAAAAAGAAATCAAGGAAAATCCAAAAGTAGAGGAGAAGAAAGAAAAGAAACAAGTCGCAAACCCTGTTGATCCTTTGCAGGACGAAAACCATGATCCATTGAAAGATCCTAGTCAACTCTTTGCCTTTGTTACGAAAACACCGTCGCCAGAAAAGAGTAAAGGTTTGTTATTATTTTGTTTTTCATTTCTAAAATATTTCTTAATGTATATGAATCTCAACAAGAAAACAACGAGAATTGATAATATTTTTTAATGACAGGTTTATTGTTTGATGAAGATGACAACAGCTTATTTACAAGTTCTGCAAAAGCTTTGGAAACGAAGGAGGAGAAAAAGTACAAACCCGCTTTGGATCTATTTGTCGATGTCGATGACGCAGAAAGTGATCTTTTTTCCTCCAGCAAAACGAAACTAAAAGCGAAATCTCTTAAGGATACAAAAACTGATTTATTTGATGATAAGATTGCTGAAGATAACGGTGATAATCTTTTTAGTTATATTACCAAGAAGACTGAAAGCGTGATAAAAAAAAATATTCCAGTCGCTAAAACCGAAGTAAAATCAGAAACTGCAATCATCAGCGATGAAGACGACAATATTTTTAGTTCATCTACAAAGAAAAATGAAAGAAAAAAAGTCGAAGATAAATCAATCGAACCGAAAAAGGTACCGCCAAAATTGAAAACTATTGAAGATGAAGAATATGGTAATCTATTTGGGTCCAGTGCAAAAATGACGGAAGGTACAAAAAATAAAGACATATCTATTTCGGTAGCTGTTGAAAGAAAATCTGAAGGAAAAAATATTAAAACTATTGTGAAGGGTATCTTTGATAATTCGAGCGATGAAGATCTATTCGCAAGTAGTAAAAAAATGATCCCTAAAAAGAAAACATCACTTTTCGATGAGGACGACGATGGCGAAAATGATGATGATTTGTTTGGGAAACCGAAAACGTCAATGAAAGAGTCTAAAGTAGCAAACATTGAGAAACCTGTTATTAAGAAAGCAGTTACAAAGGATCTTAAGAAAACAGCCGAAAAAATTGTTGAAGATCCTCTAAGTATGCTTCAAGATGATCAGTGAAAATGCTGAATATGTGCAATCTTGCAATAAAAAAATTTATTCATACATTGAAAGATGATAAGATATAGCATAGAAAAGTGTTTTAAAAAACTTACTGTAAAATATAAAGCGATTTATATTTTTTTATAAACTTTTCTACCGCTGTGCGTTCAATCGAACATCTTAATCACGTTTCAGTGTCGTTATAGAAATTGATTCCAAAATTAGTTTAGGAGTACAAAAATAAATTTGATACGTTATTTTTTTATTCATTGATTAATGTTTAAAAATAATATTCTGGCTGATAGCATCGTACGAAATGTAATTTACGCCAAAACCTTCCATAAAATTTTTTAAACTAATATGGAACCGAATATTATGAATTAATACATCAAGTTTACTTAAAATACAGAATGATTATTTGTTCTTTTATTTTTCATTCGCTGCAAAAATAGAGATTCCAGCAAAAATATTGTAAAAAGATGTATATTAAACTTTGAAAATGAAAAGATCAAACACATTTGTTTAATTTTTGAAAAACCTTATATTTTAGTTAAAAGTCGTAATAGTCATAAAAGTGCGGGCACTGTTATTTCATTTTATAATTCATAATGATGCGTAGAAAAGCACTTGTCAGACAATTTATATATCCTTATTATATGAATAACAGTAAAACGATATACATAAAATAAAACTATTGTATAAAAATTATCAAATCAATGTTCATAATGTATTGAGAACATGATAGGTAAAAACACGGTAACTTATGAAATAATATAATAAAAATGTTATATTGTGAATAATTCATATCCAAACTTAGCAATCACATTTTTTGATTGTATACATTAAAATTATAATTATGTTATTGAACCCTTAACTTGCACACCTCATTTTGACCACGTAACTGCTCGGTGGGGTAAATCTACCCCAGCCCGAAAAACATCGAATAAATCAGAGAATTTTAGATATTTTGCTATGAAAATTTTTTCTAGTTTATTTCAAACCTTTTACTACAAAAAAATATTCAGGTTAACAATTTTTAATGTTACATATACTGAAAAAAATTGTTGAAAAAAAAAAATAAATTTTATTTATTGTTAAAAATTATCTGGGGTAAATCTACCCCACATAGCAGTTAAGGGTTAAAGTATCTAGGTAGAGGAAAATAAAATCAATTGTAATTTTGACTTTTACTTGTCAAACACGATTCAACGTCTTACGAAGAATAATGAATTTTCAATAAAAATTATTTCATTGTAAAATTTTGTTATAAAAACTGTTTTGTAAAAAGGATTAAATACGTTTAATGCCGTTTAATGAGTGATTATAAGTTATATCGTATTATAGTGTAAATAAAAATACGTACTGTAAAAACTCGATTGGTACATAAATCAGATTTAAAAATAAAATTTGTGCTTAACTTATCACATATATAATTACTGATGTATTTTATGAAAAAGTTTATTAACTTTGGCAATTTCATCAAACTGTTGAGATACACTCACAAGCTTTCTTATTGTTTTTATTTCATCATTAAAAAATTAAAATTGAATGATCTACTGTCTATTATTATTTTTTAGTAAAATAAGGAAAAAGCGATCGAGAAACAAAGCTTTATTGTACACGTACAAGTGTAATAATAAAGTCGGGTGAATCATTCGACTCCATCTTTTATGCATTCGGATACAATTTTCAATATGTTAAATCTGTATTGTAAAAACTATTACTCAAATACTATTTGCAATAAAGTACCATAAAACCTCAAATTAGACAGGTAACATCAATTAAAAAAGTATTGTTGCTGCGGACGGAAACTAGGCAAATACGAGTCACGACGAAACTGGTGTCTAGATGTTAAATTATGAGAATGTTTTTAAGAAAACCTACGTAGAAATAATCTGTGAAGAGACAAGGCAGTGAGCGTACTGTTAGACACTTTGTTTTCCTTTACTTTAGTTTTTGCGGTCGGTCAAAAATATGTACAGGAGAAAAGCGAAGCAGTATATTACAACGATCGGGAGGGGGAGTATCTTTTCGCATCATTATGAGATAGTTTTAAGTTTGCAAACAAATGTAAGAAACGTGGCGAAACTAACGATAAATGTAACTTACAAGACAAGGAGCAGTCGCCAGAATATATCGCGTAAATGGGGAAGCGGTGAACAACGGGGTTACCTTCAAGGTTTCGCTCGTTATGATGAGTACGACTGTATGTGATTGAAACCGTTCACTTTGAAGCTCAAAAATTTTCTTTGAGGCTGCCATAGTCAAGCTACCCTAGGTTGCATATCCATGGCTGTCAAAACGGGGCTGAGGGGGAATTCGACGAGCGCATAATACCCCTTGGGGCTCTAAGGCGGCACTCTGCGATTTCTTCTTTTGTGCTCAATCTTGAACTTTCTAAATAAAAAGCGAATTTCATAGTAATCGATTGCATTTATACCTGCTCACCCTGACCTTAACAATCGTTACGTATTAAAACGAGTCAGCCCTCTTTGAATCTATAATTCAGCATTGTACGCTAACTGATAGATTTTTCGTTTAACATTGCCAATGCGATTGAACGCAAGTGCATATTTCTTGTGTCGCTTATTGCATTGCACGATATTTGAGTCACAAGACAGAAAAGAATTTTTTGGAAATAATTTGCCTGCAATGTCTTTGTCGCCGATGCGCGTAGGCGCATTATTCGATTCTCGACTCGAAAGTTTAACAAAGACACAATGTTCTCTCCGCGAAGTATCTACTTATTGCCCTATTAACTTATCGTCGATGTGTACGTGTGGGTAAGGAGCATCGAAGTGAGTGCAAACGCTGCCGCAAAAAAAAAATACTTCAAAGCCCGGGGGCCAGCAATCCCTGCCTGCACCGCGCGACAACGCTTAGTCGCCGATTGATCAGTCACTACGCGACCGTCATTGCAGTCGCCACGTAGTTTCCAATGAGTGATTTTCATTTTTGATTTTGTGGCATCGTAAAAGTTTTAGATTTCCGCGTAATACTGGGTGAGGATTTGTAGAACTTTCCGTTCGGCAATACGCTGTGTAAGTAAACTTTTAATCAATTTTTTCAGATAATGTTAAAGTGTTCGAATGTCCTGAATAACGTACAAACAAAAATAATTAGAGTGCATTTTATGTTTTTTTAACTTAAAATATTCCTAGTTTCCTTCAAATCCATATTTGAATGCAAATACAATTTATTTTATTAGTAAAGGTTCGCAAAAGATTGCCGATGTTTAAGCTCTTCGTGTTAACTACATACTATGTGATTTTTATTAAAAAAAACTGTTAACAATGTAAACATAGTATTCTAAAAAAACTAATGTTTTGCTTTCATCGCACGAACAATTAAAAAAAAAATGTCGCTGTTTAAGTTGTCCACTTCAATCGTTATTAGTACGTGACTTTTATTGTAACGGACAGTTGTCTGCGTGAAACGTGAAATATTTATCGCGTATTTATTCAAATTCACTTTGTTTTCTAAAAATATCGCACGTGTCGATGATAATCAACTCTTTGCACTAAATACCAATGACGACCAAATTTTCAATACCTCATTGCATTCAGCGAACTCAGAAAATTTTCTCGAGTACGTTGAACTTGAGAGTTCAATGAAATTCTAAGGTGAATCGTCAGATCGCCAAAGGTATTGTTTTGAAATTTATTGCTATAATTTAACTTCTCTATTCAGAAATTCAACGCATAAATTTATCTAGAAATTTTCTCTCCTACACTCGATTAGTTATTGAGGAGGCGACCTACGGAAGTTTATATAAATTACTTTCAATTTTATTTTTTCATAAAAGACGCATGACGTTAGAAAGTAGTAGACAGAACTTCATGAATCACATGCTCAACATGTCGAAAGACGAACAAACAAACGTATCTGGAGTAAGCGAAGTTACCGAATTTTTCAATGGTTCGAATGTCTTCGTAACTGGTGGCTCAGGCTTCCTTGGCAAACTGCTCATCGACAAACTACTGCGGTAAGCATTCACCCAGATTCTAATTATGCCGATACGACACATTTCAACGTAGTTAAGTATTTCATAATTATTTACAAAATTGATTTTTGGGTTGAGTTTTTTTTTCGCTAATAACGTTTGTTTCAAGCATCCTCGTAATTTTAGACACTAGAAATTTTGACAAAGTCTCATTTGTCACCGATGTGCAGTAGCGTTCCGACCGAGTCGGTTAAGTTGAAATCCAAAGAAAACCAAGTTAACCCTTGAATAATTGCTGATTACGTACTCCATTTTGAATATATCGTATGCAACAAAATGAAAATGAAATTTGAACCTTTGAAACTTACAACTAAAATGCCCAAGTTGTCGAATTGTTTTTCGTGAAAATCCGGTCGAATTAACCGGTTTTACCGACCAGAATTTTTACGAAGACCGCTTATGTATCGTGAGTTTTAAGGGTTTATGTTGCATATTGACTTTGCTATATAAGATACGTTTGAAAGGCATTAGTCAAACAATATAAATCCAGAGTTCATTCGATTTGCATAAAATTCGGATTTATATTTAAATAAGAAATCATCAAGTTAACTAAATTCAGTAAATATTATTTGTGGCAAAAAAAAAAAAAAATTAAAAAATAAAAACCAGAAACGAATGTGTCCATGATAACAGGAACATTACGTTAGCTAACTAGTGTAAGATGATATAATCTTATCTCGTGTGAGGTAGAATCTTGCCCGAGCGAAGCGAGAATGGAATGGCACACAAGATGAGAATCTGTTTGTCGAACATGTTAGGCACGATATTTTTGAAAACAACGCATGAAAAGCGCGAAATTCGAGCGTACGTTTTTCATCGAGCTTGCAGCAAGTCTAACTTTCCGCAAGGCCTGATGAAAAACATTTTTATTTAATTCACGTGAACGCCTAAAGTAATGTCAAGTATACTCTCATAAACTTGATAATAAAGAAGTTAGCTACGTGACTTTCTTTGCATATGTAGATCGCGATTGAGAATAGAATATAAAGCATTTCATGATTATGCATTGATAACTCTCGAGTTGCACAAAAATATAATACCGGAAATCCTCGTGTAAAGTACAATGACATCGATGCCCATTTGCATATATGAGCAGAACTTTTGTATAGCGATCGATTCTCCGAGTTGAAAGTTCGGAAAATCAATGCGATTGCTTTAATTTCAATTCTTAACATGCATTATACATATATTCGATTGCCTTTTTATTAGATTATTTGTTGTCGTAATTGAATAAGCGAAGAATGAACATTTCAAAGAATCATCGAATATTCTTTTTAATTTTAGATCATGTCCGAAAATGGGAAAGTTGTACATGCTCATGCGTGCAAAAAAAGGAAAGACTTCGGAGGAACGATTCAAAGAGCATTTTCAAGATGTTGTAAGTTGACCTGTTCAAATGAAATGCATACTAAAACAGTATCTTGATATTTGAAACAGTTCTGAGACGGGAAATCGAAATTTATTGCTCAGGTGTACGAAAGATTGAGAAAGGAACGGCCAAACTTTATCGATAACGTAGTAATGATCGAAGGAGATGCGAGTCTGGATGACTTGGGCATGTCAATAGCCGATCGAGAAAATCTCATCGAAAATACCCATGTTGTCTTTCACGCTGCAGCCACTGTGCGTTTTGACGAATCTCTTCGACAAGCCGTCAACATCAATGTTAGAGGAACGAAATTGCTGCTGCTTTTCGCTAAGCAGATAAGGAATCTCAAGGTGACGAAAGTGTATTTAAATAGCTGGTTTATTATGTGAACTTCGTAATGATTCAATTTTTCACAGTCGTTCGTTTATGTGTCAACGGCGTATTCACACTGCATAAGGAAAGATATCGAAGAGAAGTTTTACGAACCGCCGATGGACCCCGACAAAGTCCTGTCTCTCTGCCAGATGCTAGATGATACCCTATTGGAGCATATGACCAGCAAGTAAGTAATTTGTTTCCATGTAGAACGATTAGTTATTTTTGAAAATCTCATGTTTAATCGAATAGATCTTGGTTCATCATTTTTGGAATTGGTGGAATAAATTACTAATTAACTTTGTCTATGCTTTAAAAATTTTACATTAAATCTTGATCATCGTCATCATTGCTCTCTTTCAGAATATTAGGCAAATGGCCTAACACCTACGCGTTCTCGAAAGCAACGAGCGAGGAAATAGTACGAGTTTACAGCAAAGACATACCCACTTGCATCGTCAGACCGTCGATTGTGATAGCAACTTACCGCGAGCCAATGCCAGGCTGGATCAACAATTACTACGGAGCAACTGGGGTTGTAGTTGGCGCTGGTATTGGCTTGTTGAGATCTTTGCATTGCAAGGCTGACAACATCGCCGATATCATTCCCGCTGATTACGTGATTAATAACATTATCGTCGGTGCTTATGACGTAGCTAAGCAATGGTAATCATCTTTTACGGTAGCGTGAGAATGTATTTTGTTACAAATATGTTATTTTGGCTCTAAAGGCAAGAGAAACAGAAAAACATTGAAGATAAACGGACAGAAGAAGCGCCGATCTACAATTCCGTATCTTCGTGCCAAAGGCCTATTTCTTGGATTACCTTCATGCGTCTCAATGAGCACTACGGTAAACAAGTACCGAGCGCTGTGGTATTCTGGTATTACGTATTCACGCTAAACAAACATTTGTGGGTTCATAATCTCTTCTGCTTTTTGTTTCACACTATTCCTGCTATAATCGTAGATGCACTTGCTATGTTGACTGGACGGAAACCTATGTAAGGATATTTTCTAATAATTTTATCGGAATTCCGTTTCTTTTTACATCAATTATTGTGGCTTCGATATAGGTTGTACAGAGCGTACCAAAAAATTCACAAGTTTAGCGGAGTGATATCCTATTTCTGTACTCAGCAATGGAATTTCAACAATGACAACTTGCTAAGACTGTGGGAGAGAACAAGTCCTGTCGACAGAGAGAAGTATGATTTCAATTTGAACAGTTTGGATTGGGACGATTACTTTTACCATCATGTGCGTGGAATCCGTGTTCATATTCTCAAAGATCCACTGCATACGATTGAAGTTGGACGTATGAAAATCAGACGGTAAGAAGCAATTGGTCACATTTTTTATTATTTGTTCCTCTGGTGTACATATATTTTTTTCTTATTTTAGTTTGAGAATTGCTCACTACATTATCGTAACGTTACTTGGATTTTTATTGATGTGGGCTATTTACACTCTCATGCAAATACGTTTTTCTTCGTAACCTCGTTTCAATTAACAAGCATAAAAATTCACTTTGATAATTTTTCTTTTCATTAGTGCTTTTGTTTTTTATATTTCTATAAAAAATATTTAATTTTTCTTTTGACAATACTGACGTATTGGATGTCAAATTTATAGTAACATTGTTGACTGTAATTTGTAACTATGTATATTTTGATGCGTGACTGCAGAGTCATTCGATTATCGAAGCATACCAAATCTCATTGAACATTCGATGTAGCGATACAATTGTTAGTCACGCATAATAGTCTTTGAAAGTTCATCATACTTTGGTCGATTGTAATTTTTCTACATACATATAGTGATTGCAATAATGCGACTGTGCATTGTATAAAAGCATGCATGAATATGAGTTTATTTTAATTCTAGAAATGTATTTTTAGTTTTTTACGCTTCGCCAATTTATAATTTTAATAAATGTTTTTTTTTTCAACAACGTTCATTCAAAGTGTGAAGTTATTTGTTATTATGAAAATATGATAATGCATTTATAAGATCCTTAGTTTCCAACCGGTATAATACCGATAACACTTGCAGTTACAGCGATTGTCGACAGAGGTCTGTACGTTACTGAAATCAGTTCATTGAAATAATGTTCGGACAAAAATAAGACACTTTCTATACCTGGCCATCGTGGACGTCGAACGTCGAATATTGAACCTATACCGGGCCAAAAAAAAATGTAAAAAATATACATTTTTCACCTCGGTACATGTCCACTGCCCGACGCTCGACATCCAATGATTCTTATGTAGGAAATCTCTAACTTAACTTACATTTTGATATTTTCAAAGCCACTTTTAATTTCTGTAAATCTATTGGAACATTACATTTAATGTCCGAATAGCTTAAATATGAATGTAATAATTTAATAACAATCAGTGATACCCACAATAGTTTCAAACATATGAATTAAAAAGCAATAATATTACGGTAAAAAAGTTTTTAAAATTTTAAATGTATTCAATGAAATAAATATAAAAAGTATTTGTATAACACAAAAGAAAAGGTTATGACAATCTATTAAATGACAAAGTTAAAAGTACTATTCTTGAAAGAGCAGTATACGATACAAAGTGCTCTTAGCAAGGAAACATCGTTGTGGACGATGAAAAATGAAGCTACATATCTCCCGCGCGGCGCAAAACGTCGAGGGAGAGAGAGAGCGAGAGAGCGAGGAAGAGATGTGCACAACATCAGTTAACAAAACAAATTCATTAGACATCGGCGATATCTTTCGCGCGAGATACTTTCCGTGCGAGTGATGGATGCAGTTATTTACGAAGACGAGCTGTTAGCTGGACAAAACGATCGCGTGTTCGAGAGAGGCTAAAGGGCGCGAGAGCGCGCAGAGCCGAACGGAGCGACTATCAATAATTATTAATTAAGCGATCGCCGGCGATAAATCAACCGCGACGAGATTTATTGCGCGACACTCGTGCGTTCGACACTTGTTCATCAGTCAAACCCCGTGCGCGCGCGCGTGTCTGTGAATACTTTTTTTTTTTTTCTTTTTCCTGCATTGGCTTTCGAAAGCTCTCGTGCGCACGCGCTTTTGGTTAATCGACCGGTTTTAATTGCCGCACACTTGGCTTTTTTCGGACTCGAATGTACGTGTATGCGAAGTAAGCGAGCGCACGAAAGTCGCGCTAATTTATGCAAGCGACCAAGAGTGTCGATGAACATTTTTGTGGAATATCTTATATATTGATTTTATCGCCGAGACAGAATCTGCGCGATTTATCAGTAAACGAAGAAAATTTTTTTTTAATTGAATATATAAGACTTAGGAAAAACGTAGTAATCGATTGGGTTAATCAAGTAGATATTTTTTGAAGTAATAAAACCGTTTAGCAAGTCGTAATGTAACTAAATATGTTTTTTTATTTTTATAGGAAAAATTAAATGTTTTTATCGTTAATGTTTCCCGTCGTGTCAAACATCAAATCCGGTTTGTAACTACACGCTCAAATACATTTGTAAATATGATAAAATCCATCTATTTTCTCAAGCATTAACCAAATAATTCTCAATAATTTGTAAAATATCATTCATTTTATTGTATAGAACCAAATTCAATTCCTGTAAATCAAGAGCATGCGCAATAACATTACAATATAACTATGTAGTCCATCTAACGAAAGCCTCGATGCAAATCACCATTTTCGATCTTGAAATAACAGCATATCCACCTCTCGCCGAATAAAAGTCTCCCCCGTATGCAAACAAACCGACAGCATCAGAACTGGACCTTGATTTATGGCAAGCAGGTCGCGATAAAAAAATTAAAAAAATTTTATAAAAATTTGCGCGCACATGTACCGTAGGGAATAATTGAGTTAGTCGATAGGTGAACAAAAGCATCATCGAAGCATCGTTGAATCTAAGGCGCACGTTTTCCGCCACGCCTTTTGCTGTACGCACAAAGACGCCCACGCGCACGCAAACTGTCCCTTAAGGCTGCCCGAAAATAACCTCCGAGCGACAGGTATAACGGCTATCTTATCATTTTTATACTCTGCTTAGTGGGTTAACTTTTCGATAAGCTGTATGATATAGTGAAAATCAATTTTTCTTTTTTGAAAGTTTACATTCCTAACGGCAATAAAGTCTCTTCGTTGCCTTGCACACACGAAAAAAATGATTAGCACCATGTAGCTCGTAGCATAAAGCAATGAATTTTTCGGTCAATTAATGTAACGATGCTTCACACTTGCGAAACTGATAAAATTCGCAAGCCAAACGATTATTGCTTCGATGCTAATCTTTATTGTTGATCTTCGTGGCTTTCTTTCATCCTTGTAGAAGGTGAATTTTCACTATACGATCGACCATTGAACATGCTGCACCATCGTCTCTCCTACGTAGCTTTCAGCGTTTAATCCATAGTTTTATGTCGACTAATGGATGTGCGATCACGCGTACATATTTAAATTCTGTTAAAAACCCGATTTTCATTAAAGCTCCACTCGCACGCATCATTTCAAGTTTTATCCACATATAAATGCATCTACAGAAGACTATTAATCAAAGGCATTTCGTCGCCGTGCCATTGGAAACCTCATGGATTTACGACTGTACACGCGTAACCCATACGAAGTTATACGAGGGGGGGGGGGGGGGGTTTAACGAGCAAGTGCCGTGTGTAGCTTCTAATTTCTTCTGTTGCGCGCGGACAATTATCTCCGAACCACGGCCGGTACCGAATTCGGACGTTTATCGATTTTTATGCGGCAGTCCAGGCGCCGCTTCCTTGACTTTTACTGCGCGCACGTGTGTGTGTGCTTCGCGAAAGGATTCTGCGATGCCTTTAGCATTCCTTTGTCGGGCCAAAGATATCGAGTGGTCATTTCTTCTGTCTTCTTTTTATGCGAGGGGCTTTGAAAAGAAACGAGAGAAAGTCAGGTGCAGGATGGTAAGGTGAGTAAATACAGTAGGGATTACGTTGTTTTTCTTCGGTGCAGGGCTGATTAAGATCTGCAGAAGTGGCTGTAACTTTTCGAGTTCTCAAAACCACGTCGTATGTAAGAGAAATTAAAATTTACATTATAATAATTATTATAAGCGAAACTTATCTGTCTAAATGTGTAAGCTATCGAAACGATAGTGTTTCAAACATTGTTTATAATGAATTTTAGAGGAATTATTATTATTATTTAAGAAACTGATCTAAAATCGTATACGTATACCAAGAGTAAATAAATTTTACAAATATCTAAAAAGAATAATTCATTCATGCGATCAATATGGCAGAGGCTCCCATAATGTAACCGCTATTTCATATGCACTGAATGCTATACTCAGATTAAACACATTTCTGATGGCTGTCACTTTATTTTTCATTTCATTTATTGATTAAATTAAAAGTTCAACCTTGGTAGCTAAAGATTTAGGTCAAATATACTATTTTCACATAATTTTATATTACACTGTAATAACTATATTTCAACTTATTAACGGAAAAAAAAAACATTATATTATATTTTCACGTTAAATTTTATGGAAAACGTTATTACCAATGAAAAAAAATAATTGCCAGTTGAAGCAATTAAACCATTAATGTACCCAAGTAATCAGCATTTACAGTAGCACAAATACCCAAAGTAAAAAGGAAAGAACAAAAATTAACAAAACCATGTGTACGTGCTCATAACAATGAGTTGGTACTTTCTCCAAAAAGCAACCGAGAAAAAAAGTCTCCCTCTCAGCTATACAGCATACAAATGACGTGCACGTACCAAACCTGATTTTCACATGCGCATCTCGTATAGCAATTGCTACCAAAAAAGAAGAAGAAAAAAAAGAAGAACAACCTTGTCACACCCAAGAGAAAGAAAGTTAGTTGTCGTTTTTTTTTTGCTCGCGAAGCGAAGCAAATTACTTTCGAAAAAGAAAATTGATTGTTAAGTGCGTCCCGTCGTCGTAAAAATTGATTCTTTTTTGTTGTGGCCGCGCGCGCACGTGGTCATTACCAAATTATAGTTTGATTAAAAGAGGTAGACTTATCCGAACTTATATTGGACTTTCACGGAAAGTGGATACTGATTATGAAAAATTACATTCTTATTGTAACGTAAATGGTTTATGTGTTGTTATTATTTTTTCGTGAGAGAGAGAGGCGTTTACGAGTATTGACACTTGGTAATAATTCTTGGTAAAGATGTGAAAAGTTGTGTGATTAATTTTTAAACTGGAGAAATCTACTTGTTATAAATATCTGCAAATATCCTCGGGTTCGCACGAAACGTATTGTTTCAAATGTTAATTTTTTTATAGTAACTTTTCCCATAAGAAAGAGAGAAAGACATGTAACCTACACTCCACGGTGGTTTCGAACATTTGAATTTTTCAAGAGGCATGATAATTCGGACGTGCAAGACCTCCTTGGAAGTTTTTTTTTTTATTATTAAGTAGGTATGTACACATAACGTGGATGCGTATACGCTGTTATCGGTACATAATATTTGATTACCGGTTAATGATACAAGATCCGTGTCATTAATTTTTATGACCTACCATAATAAGGTGTTTGTCGAATGTGACCGAGTGTTGGATTTCTACGACCGCAAATCTTTGGCTTAATGTGTAACTGTCTTTAACGATGAACGAAGTATTACGCATTTTTCGTTTGGCCGGTTTACTTTTATGAAAATCGTGTGACAGGTTACAATTCTGGCGAGTGGATGACAACATTCAATGAACATGTGAAAAAATCATCACCGCTTACTCATGAGTAATTTCAATATCCATCTACTGGCAAATCAAGAGATAATAAAATTAAAGATTACGGCGTCGATTGTAATGAAAAATTTTTAAATATTACATTATTACAGCTATATTACTTTAAGAACTAAAATACGAATAATAATTTGTCAATTTACTCATAATACTTTCAAACATCGCTCAAAAATTATAAGCTTACAATGTCCCGTTACCATTCATGTTGCTAATATTGCCATCTTACAACTTGCAGACTCACCTCGTAAACTACAATCATAATGGGTAAAAAACTCAAGAACCTTTAAAAAGAAAAGAAATAAAAGAAAAAAACAAGTTAGTTCCAAGTATGACTTTGCCGGCACACACCCGCGCTTGCGGGGAAGTGCTTGGTCTCGGGGCACACAAACTTATCGAAACAACAGATCTACTTCACTCCGCCCATCTCTGCATTACCGAGGCTTACAGCTGCGACGTATTTCATTGCTTGGCATCGGGGTTGTCGGCATGTGTCATCGCCTGCAACAATTTTTATTTTAAATGAGCTTTCTACGATGCCTTCTTTTACGGGATTCAGATACAGATAATTGCAATGTGCTTCATTCATAGGCTATACGGTCATTTGAATTTATTATTTCAAGGAACAAACAACGAATATTAATGAGCGATTTAAACTTGAAAGTTCTTGAAATCTCTAACTCAATATCATTTATAATGTAAGGTTCTTAGAATAATTTTATGGTTGCTTAAATCAGCCCAAGTATAACTTATTATGGTATTATGTTAATTAAATTGTTTATTACATTATGAGGATAGTAGTTATAATTTTTTACTATCAATTTATACATTTCCTACTTTTTGAATTGCAAATATTTCATTCGAACAACAATTACTTGCAAAATAATCGAGGTACAATTAGCATGTAGTAATAATCTGTATAGTCAGACACTTAAGCATAAATGTAATATCCTATAAATGTCATAATTCCCCGGATAGGTACTGTTTCTTTGGCACAGTGTCTGTGCTTTTCGTATGAAAATTAATTCAGTACGAAAGGTGATTTGATAGGAAAATTTGATGAATTTAAAGACAGAATGATCAGGTTTTATTTCATGAATTGACGGAGGATACAACTGAGAGCGTACAAGCTCGTCGAAGGCTCTTAGCAAACTGACCGCCGACTCTTGCCACTCTCGTCACTCTTAATCTTAAAAGCAATAAAAAAAGAAAAGCGGAAAAATGAGACGAGTGTCGAACCAAAACATAGGCGATAGTCACGATAACGTGATCGTGGCTCAGTTGTGTGGCTTATGCGCCGTCGGGGTAACACATGTTAACCATGAGGAGACCACGAGAAACGCGTAAACTAGTAGAGTGGACTGTAGGGCACAAAGAGAGAAATCGACACCATCTCAACGACTCAGCGAGGCATTGCCTTTCTTAGAATTACTTAAATTGAATACAATGAGTGAATCATAAATGAATATCGGTAAACAATATAAATGAAATATAATTATATACAAATAACGTAAGTTCAAATAAATTAAATTTAGAGTCTATGAAATTGTTCGATATAATAACATTAAAACCACTCGATATCGTACAGGTACAGCTACCTGCAATCAAAGATAGCGAATCAGATCTGGAAAAATAATACATTACGATACAAGTGCGGGAAAGTAGATTCTGGTCTCGTGTGGCGTTTACGCCCGAGCGAAGCGAGCATGTGCCGTACCGTATTTTTCGATACAACGTGTGGAAAGTGCGATTTTCAACGCAAGTTTTCTGCCGAGCGAGCGGGAAAGACGCACTTTGCGCACGGAGTATCAAGAAATACCATTACTTTGAAACGAATCCCACTTTATTAAGATTTCTCAATATCGATGACATATCAATCAAATCAGCAAGGGGAAATCATTCATGGCAAATCACCATTCGCAATGGGGCACACGCGGCGCGCGACCGGGGTATCGAAGTGTCAAAAGACAAGGCGCATACCTTGCACGGTTCAATCAAAGAGCAATCGACTTTTTCCCAAATCTAAGCGATCAATCGTCACGCGCCTGTTTACAAAAGCGGCCGCATTAGCATGACAACGTGCGCCTGCGCCCGACAAGCTCGACTGTGTATACGATGACAAAAAAAAAAGCTGACTGGACACGTCAATTTAACTAGCTACTATATACTATTATTGAAACATTGCTTTTCTTCTTTTTCCGTTTATTGAAAGTGATCGTACATTCGTATCGTACCTTCTGAATCATGAAATTAGGTAATTTTATGCAGTACGTATTGTTTAAACGGAATTACCTTTCATTGTCATTAATGGGCAAATTAAATGTTAGACTTAAATAATTATGTTAAAAGTGCTCCGTACGTTCTACTTGTGGAAAAACAAACAAAAATATCCCATGATTATGTTTTATGAAGCCATCGTTTATCATTTACTTATGTGTAAATAGAGAAATAATATAAAAGAAACTAGTGTATCCATTGAAATACGAAATTGTAAATCTATAAGCATACATACATTGCGAATGTACATATACCTGGATCCAGTACATGATATAATGTGCGCAAGTCGTCGATACGACTGAGACAACAAAGTACGTCATTTATTGTTTACGCCTCCTCTTGAACGTATAGGCTTAAAATTAATATGTAATTAATAAACCTTATATCGAGTAATCTCGTGCATGTCATATACCCGTCTCTTATATAACCGATTAGATAATTATTGCTCGAATCCCAAAAAGTTATTTTGAAAACGATATAACCAACGTATTGTTAAATTAATAAAAACGTAAATCGATAGACGTATAAATATTGTCGAGCAATTTTCATCTCCGAACACGTCATCCGATCATCCATCTAACTTTTAAAATGTCATACTAAAAAAAGAAGGAAAAAAAAACAAAATAAATTTAAACATGAAAATTGTTCCTCATATTGCAGCTCATAAAAGCTCCCTCCCCTCTATCGCCCCTCTATTCGAGAGGCAGACACACGCAGCGCACTGCACCGTGATCAGAGCACAGGTAGCGCGAAAAAGAGCATCCGATCAGTGGCGGCAGCGAGCGAGCGAGTGCGGGCGACCTCCCACTATATATCCCCGTCGTCGTAGCAGTCTCGTCGTCCGTCCGTGTCCCACCACATTTGCTGCAGCGCGCGGCGGCGGCGGCAGCAGCAGCAGCAGCAGTGGAGTTGGCGCACGCTCTTTTCTCTCTCTCTCTCTCTGTCTCTCTGTCTCTCTCTCTCTCTCTCTCTTTCAGTGCACGCCCGGCTGCCGACACGAGCGGATGGCTCGCGCTCGCTCGATCTCGCATGTCGTCGCGGCTGCTGCTGATACATCTTCTTTTCTCTAAATTCTTCTCTCTAATTTTTTTTTTCACTTCTTTCTCCTCTCTCCGTCTTTCCTGTCAGTCAACATAAGAGTCGATTAATCAGTGTGATGCTCTCCTGACTGTTGTTCCATTGTTGTTCTACCATCCGGGCGCGCGATAAAGTGTGCTTGCAAGTGCTTTTTCAATGGAGGAAATGAGAAAAGAAAAATAATTCTCTGGTGAAGTTTTTTTGGTGGTGTGATGATGATGATGATGATGATCAAATTGAGTGCGACGTGGCTTGATTATTACAATTATTAAGCTGTGAGAGATTGTGTCGTTGAACTGCCCGACGACTTCGACGAAAGCAGAGTTTGTGTGTGACATTCTTCTTCTTTGCCGCTGCTGCATGCCTTTTGCCCGTCGGCCGACGACGTTCTTGACACGTGCGACCACCACCCGTTTTCGTGCGGCTGCTGCTCCAAGTAAGTTGCAAACTTTGACAAAACGGTTTTATCAGTTAGGTTTTGTATTAGCGATTGCGTCTGATAGAATACCAGATGGTTCGGTGTATAAACGTGAAAGTGAATGTTAGGTTTGTTGGACATCTGATCGGCAGTACTGATATTTTTTAACTTCATGACTGAATTGAAATATGAAACATTGAATAGAGTATTTTAATAGTTCGACCACAATGTCTTACGATCTTTTGTTATCGAACTCATCAGTTGACATATCTCGATCTAACTATCATTTTCAATAGCACAACATATTTGACATCAATCGACATCAATTCGACAGCTTTGAATGCGTTATCATTGTGAAGCAAATCATTCACCAAAATTTTTAAACAATAAGACCTCCATCCCATCGTCAACCAAAAAAAAAAAAAGAAACAAGCGACGTGAGTTTCCGAAAAAGAAAAAAAAAATCGTTAACGCGGTTTGCAACGAGAGCTCGTCACATTATAAATATACTACGGGGTATGGCACGCGGTATGGTTTTGCGCGCGCAACACTGTCATATAAACTCGTGCGCGAGCACAGCGTGGTGTGTAGTATGAAGAGCGCGAGTCGTTGAACCTCGATCGATATACCCAACTGCTTTAGCCGGCCAAGGGTTAAGCGGCAAATGTCAATGGTTATAGCAACGCCAGAGAGTCTGTGTATCACCTAATATTCTTCTTTTTTTGTTTGTTAGTATCAGTGATTTATTATTATACGGTTTCATTTTTTTTTGTGTGCATAATTGATGATTGTCAGATTATCCTTCTTTTTTTATCGTGTTCGCGCTAAATTTTGCATCGTGCGGCGATAAGATAATTCACTCGGGGCACCGGATGAATATCAAATTGCTGACAATTGTTGGGAGTTTGAAGACTTGTGTAAACTTGAGACGATTCGATTTGATAAAAATGAAAAATGCGTTGCACGGCAATTGGAAAAAAAAGTGTCAGTAGGAAAAACTGTCGGCACGAAGCTAGCGCGTGCTATCGAAAGAACATCAAAGCACATATCCGCGTGAATATTATGGCGTGTGCATGTGTGTCTGTGTGTGTAGGAAGCCGCGCGTATTATAAATCTCGAAGAGGACGCAATGCGTTTTGCGCGAGGACATAATTCCACCGCACGCAAGATCTACACCAACGCCGTCAACTCTGCTCCCTTAACTTATAAGCTTTAAAAGCTTGGAACAAAGTTACTAACTGCAATTTGATACGTTCAGCTGGACGAAAAATTATTCACGTAAGTGTTTTTTTTTCTGTTTTTTTTTTTTTTTTTTTCTTATCTCGAGGTGGGCATATAAATACGTGAACGACGACGAAGAAGTTCTTTTTTGCACGTCCATCTCTTGTCATCTCGCGCACGTGTGCATACGCATGGCATCTGCGAATCTGAGTCGTTTTGCACTAATGTTTTATGTGGCAGACGAGCTGCACTGCGCGCGGAAGCATTTCGCTTTATGAATATTAATCGGCTCCGCTCGTTCTCCCTCTCGCAGATCTCTTTCCACTTCTTCTTTTCAGCCTCATTAATGCATCGAACTAATTCCAGAATCTAAGGCTTATCTCGTTCAAAATTTTCGGTTTATCTATGTGAGCGTCGGGGTATTATAAGCAGCCGATATGTACGGCGCGCCAAGAGCGTTCATGCATATGTGCGACTGACTGCGATTTATAACAAATAATCGGTTGATTGCCGGTTAGTTCCTCCTCCTCTTTTTTCCTTTTATTTTTACGTTGCCTCTATCTTTTATTCTGCATGTACGGGGGCGTTTCGCGTGTTGCATACCTTCACGTTTTTTTTTGTCGAGCGAACGCGTTTTACGACTATATGTCTTTGCATGCGACTTCGACTGCTAACTTGTCCATCGATTGATCGAATGCCCCTATTGCATGTTATAGTTGTGTGGAGGTGGATATCGGTACGGCGTTAGCTGAATTGTCGATCGGAATAATTTTCGTGAGTGATAGCGCAGGTAACATCATTGAAGGATGTTACAAATACGAAATTTGTTGTTGTAAGACATTGCGCGAAGTAATGATCTTGTTTACTAATAAAATGAAAAATTATAGCCGCATGAGAAAATATTTCTTAATCGCGAGTTCAGTTAATTAGACAGTTATAAAACGTTCAATTTTTTAAAGCAACCAAAAAATGAAGAAAAAAAAGAAAAGAAAATATTTGCCTCGAAGTTCCATGCGACTAGTAGCGAATTTTTTACAGCAGAAATATTCCAATCAATTTTTCACTCATTAGCAGATTCTCCGGAGCTGTATACAAGCTCTCGCAGCAAAACACTTGGCAGCAACGCGAAAAGAATAACATAATTTGTCGGCTTTACTCTTGGTGCGCGAGAGCTCGTCTTCCCGCGACTCACTTTTTTTTTGCTTCTCCCGAGTGCGTCATTCTATTAAAACGGTCACGCGAACAATGCGACTAATTAAAGAGTGTAACTCTCTTCGTGCACGGACGCTGAAGAATTTTCGGTCGTGGTTATGCTAATTATCTTGATAAGTTTTTTTGGACCCGAGGCTAATTAGCCGCAAAGTCCAAAATGTTCACGCCTTCGAAATTGAAGTGCGCAAGGCATGGATGCGTTGGATGTACGTAATGAAGCAATTCCATTACTTGAAAGGAGCAAAAAAAAGAAAAAGAAAATGCACATCCGTCGAGATTCTTTTTTTACTCTCGAGTGTCTTTGCTTAGATTTATCTGTCTGCCTTGTCAACGAAGTTTGCACTCAAGTTCAGGCGCTTGTAAATGAAACTGAAAGTTTTGCAGTTGGTGCATTAGCGCGGCGATATCTTTGACTTTCTTTCCTGTTTTTTTCATCCTTCTTTCCGACAAATTACGCGGTTTCTTCAGCCACGGCCAGGTGGAAGTCGCGCGCGCGCGGATACATTTAGATTGCGGTACCGGGAAAAGGAACAAAAGCCCATAAAAATGATAACAGCGGCACTTACTACTTCATTAAGCTGCGCGCCACTAAACTAAACTCTCCCGTGAATTTCGCCGGTAAACTTGAAATATTAGTTCTAGATGATGGTTTATGGCTGATTCGTCATGGGAATGTTTGCATAAAACTTTAAAACAACCCGTACGAGTTCATATGGCAGTGTCTTTCTCTCGTCGCAAGCTCGCTGCACGTATACGAACCGTAAAAAACCTCTCTTTCACCACGGTAATAACAATGTAATAATCCATTTCGGTCCTCACCGCGATCTTGATTCGCACACTATATCTTCCCACGACGCGTATAAGTATATAATACGCACAGCTCACGTATATGCAGATCTGGCCTTTTCAGGCGAGTTATGCTTTTCTTCTTATGTTTTTTTTTGTTTTTTGACGGCGGTGCTTGCTTATATCAAAGCTTCTTGGAATGGCCCTTTTACGCGAATGGGAAGTGGGCATTTATCGTAATGGCTTAAACGCGACGTACACTCCTCAATGATTCACGCGTGCGATTTATATGTTTGACGAGTGTTCGTACATTTTTTCTGGTTTTGTGGAAAATCGCGCTCGTCTCTCTTTCTCTCTCTCTCTCTCGCGCCTCCTTCAAAATTACCTCGACTCCAGTCAGCGAGCCGAATCACGCGGTTGAACGCGGGCACAACCGACGAAATTAGGAGAGCTCCAGCCTCCGCCGGAGAGTGCGCGCGCGCGCGCGATGTACATATCTTTCGTACGATTAGCGCTCATTAGAAAAACATGTAATTCGCGAGAGAGAGAGAGAGAAAGAGCTATCGCGTGTTTACAAGATAAAAGAAGTATCAAGCTCCGTATACGACGATCAAATCGCCTGTTAATTAAAAGAGAGTAAGATGATCAATTCAAAAATAACAGCTTTGCATAACGCGAATCATAGGATAAATTCACCAAATAATCTTATGCTAATGATTCTGTGAATCAGAGTGGTGTCTTTCTTCGATTTACGATTTTTTTACCTACTTTTGAGAAATGTTCATTGTCTTGTATATTTATTAATTAATATATTCAGTTGAAAATGGAGACATTACCTGCGTTGTAAGTTTAACATTGTATCGTTGAGTGAGACATAAACGTCAGTCGCGTCGTCAAAGTTCTTATATATCAAAAGATCCAGAAGATGATCTCAAGCTTTATCGAAGTGGACAACCAATCTTATTCCTCGGTCGCAGCCATCACCTGCCACCTCGAACTGAAAATTCAATACGGACGCAGCTTTTATTAAAAAAATGGTTTGAAAAGCGGAACGCGGGCAAGGGAGTGGCGATAAGCGCGCGAACTGTCGCATAAGCAAGCGAGAGAGAAAGAGAGATTGGCTATCTTGTCGCAGCTGTCAGATTGTTGACGTGGGCCAGTGACACGTTTAATAGGATTATTTATGCGAGAGGCTCGTTCGCGACGCGCACAATCGCGCGACGAAAAGTCGCCTGGCGCTATCTGCGGATAAAACTGAAGTAGTGGAACGAACAAATTCTCCGTGATTCGACATACTAACGCGTCGTTAGATGTTAATCCGAAACGATGCTTCCTCAAATACTTGTGCGCGCAAGAAGAGATTGCTTGCGCCGCAAATGATTTGGTACCGAGGAGGTAGATGCGTACTGACGCCATGTGCGCGCAAGCAATTGCGCTTTCGTCAAGGCCGATGAACTTTTCTTTCGACTGACTCACAATGCGCATTATGCGCGGCTACTTTTAGGTTTGGTAAACACTACACTGTTTACCGTGCACCTTGGAAGTTAATCTTAATTATTCAAATACTAGATTGTATCTCATCAGAAATAGGATTAGATTTTTGTTTTTTTTTTATTTCATGTCCAGTATTTATTTGATTTGCTTCGAATTCCAGAGAAACATGTGGTCATAATTTCCCTTTCGTTGCTTTTAATCTTCTGAAGCAGCATGAACGAAAAAAAGGAGTACGCAAAGTCGGCGTAATTTTTCGCTTTGCACTGCAACAGCCTCCAAGATTGACGTGATACCTACCTCAGTGA